GGTAACCCTACCGTGCTGATGGACTACAGGAGCACCGGCGGCGGGAGGGTGAGAAGCCATAAACGGTGAACTCCAAGGAGCAGCGACCCTTGGTTACAAACAGCCTTACTGCGGCAGGCGGGGCAATACCGCAGCAGACAGAATAATTCCCTAGCTACTCGTGGGGCAGCGATGGACAAAAATGCAAATGAATATATGTACAAAGGCAGAAGGAGTAGAGCGCAATCCTCTAATGATCAACAAGGCGAGAATGGTAACCACAAAGAGGAAACTCAACGTGGACCACCTACAAAACAACCCAACGTCGGGGAACCAAACTATGAAGACAAAGCTAATATACGGACCCGATGGAACAAAGAGGAAATGAAGGAAGTTGTGTGGTGTTTCCTGGCATCAACAGGCAATTACAAGGAAGCATATGAATTATGGAGAAGCACAAATTTAAAAGTAAGGCCAACAATGAATGCAAAACAAAAAACAAAATGCAAGCAATTGGATCATTGGCAGTACCAGTACTGAGATACAGTTTTGGAATTATTAACTGGCACAATGAGGAAATACAAAAATTGGAAAGGAAAACAAGAAAAATGTTAACTACTTATGGACAGCATCACCCAAGAGCAGATATAGACCGTCTGTATGTTCCTAGAAAAGAGGGAGGACGGGGCCTGATACAAATAGAGGCGGCTTACATGGCAGAAACCACAAACCTAGTGGAATATATAGAAGGAACAGAAGATCAACTGATGAAAATTGTTAGGACACACCAACGCAACACAAGTTCTTCGCCGAACATAGCCTGCAAGTACACGAAATTTTTACAAAAAAAGGCAATAGCTCAGAACACAAAAGAAAAATGGGAAAAGAAAAGAATGCACGGCCAATACCCACGCAGCTTAGATGACACTCTGGTGGATAAGGAACAGACATATCGATGGTTGAAATTTGGAGGCATTAAAGGGGAAACAGAAAGCTTAATCGTAGCAGCTCAGGACCAAGCAATCAGTACAAACTATTTTAAGAGAAAAATATTGAAAGAAGAGATCGGAAGTAAATGTCGACTGTGTAAAGAATATGAAGAAACTATAGACCATTTAACATCAGGATGTCCCGTTTTGGCGAAGAACGAATATCTAGTAAGGCATGATAAAGTTTGCATGCATTTACATTACTCAATATGTAAAGAATTTGGAATTGAAGTACCAGACAACTGGTACTCACACGTGCCTAAGTCAGTATGTGAACATGAGGATATAACGGTGTTATGGAACCAAGGCGTACAAACAGACAGAGAGGTTCTGGCAAACAGGCCAGACATAATAATTAAAAACAAGCAAAAGAAAACTTGCATACTTATAGATGTATCAGTACCATCGGACACGAATGTAGTACAAAAAGAAGCAGAGAAGAAATTAAAATATAAAAATTTAAGCATCGAAATTCAGCGAATGTGGAACATGAAATGTTTTGTGATACCAGTAATTATTGGAGCCACGGGTACAGTCACGAGAGGGTTGAGAAAATATTTGGAACTAATTCCTGGTAAGCACTCCATAGATTCACTGCAAAAAACAGCTATCCTGGGAACATCACACATACTACGGAAAGTGCTACAGTGCGAAGCTTGAAGCCTGAGTGGTGAGGTGCATCACTGGTTCAAGAAAAGGAATACCAGGAAATAAACCTGTGACAAGAGATGATGATGATGATGATAATAATAATAATGATAATAATAATAATAATAATAACAACAACAACAATAACAACCCTCCCACCTTCATCTGTCTTCCTAGTGGTCTCTTTCCTTTTGGTTTTTCAATCAAAATCCTACATGCAGTTTTCTCCAACTTCCTATCACTTCAGCCCTCTTCAGTCCCAATATTCTCCTCAACACCCTGTTTTCAAACACCCTCAGTCTATATTAGAGTCAATTTTCCCGACTACACATAACGTTTTTATTATTATCACACTACATGTTTCGACCTCAAGAGGTCATCCTCAGGTGTACGAACAACTGTATAATTACATGCAATCCAATCGTTTTTCCACTTATTCGACCCTGTACCTTATTCAGGCTTACGCTCAATGATATATCAAGCTCTTCTTATAAAACACAAGTTTAAATATTATTCTAAATGTTAAAAGTTAAAATTTAAAAATTTTTCATGAGTCGAAGTTCAACTCAGTCATTAACTTTTAACATTTAGGTGATCTGAGTTGAACTTCGACTCACGAAATTTTAAAATTTTAAATTTTAACTTTAACATTTAGAATAATATTTTAACTTGTGTTTTATAAGAAGAGCTTGATATATCATTGAGTGTAAGCCTGAATAAGATACAGGGTCGAATAAGTGGAAAAACGAATGTGATTGCGTGTAATTATACAGTTGTTCGTACACCTGAGGGTGACCTCTTGAGGTCGAAACATGTAGTGTGATAATAATAAAAACGTGTTGTGTAGTCGGTAAAATTGACTCTAATATTGATTAAATACACAACAGGATGCAAGAAACGATTAAACCCTCAGTCTATGTTTCTCCCTTAATGTCTGAGACCAAATTTCACACCTATACAAAACCAGAGGCATAATTATGGTTTTGCATGTTCTAATTTTTACATTTTCAGGCAGCATATGAAAAGACAAAAGGTTCTGGAATGAATGGTAGCAAGCATTACATGAATTCAATCTCCTCTTAATTTCCTCCTGAATGACATTTTGATTTGTAATTGCCATCCACAAATATTTGAACTGTGCTACATTTTCAGGGGATCTATTAACTGTCTTTATGTTACAATTTTGCCCTGCATTCTGGTGACAAGGTAGCAACATATATACCACATATTCATTAAATTTAAAAATTAAAACAGATTTACATGTATTAACATTTAAAAATTACAAATAAAACAACGCAAGGGAAAGATCACTACAACAGGTACAAGTGACTTTTTAAGGGGGGGGAGGAAACACTGGGGGGGATCTCAGGAAATATAGGGCTAAGGAGAAAACACAGGTATGCATGTTGGCATATGTATTACCTAGGTAACTCCTACTGATTTTAATACCCTTTCGTTCCTAAGCACAGTGTGTGTAAAGTAAATGAATGACACAAGTACAAAATTATGATATCTTGCAGAAAACACAGGCAGGCAATGCAAACCATCATATGGAGTACAGTAAAAGTGTAGCATATGGTTTGTCCCCTTATGCTAAACTAATCTAACCCACCATAAGCAAGCCAGATATAAATGGAGCTCTTTAAGAATAAAACTGCTTTAGAACACAGAAGGATAGGGAATATTTTAATGTACACTTAAATGCCAGAATATACTTCTGCCATACAAGTAAATTAACGTAACTGTAATTACCACTGTTACCTTATGGAAATTTGAGATATATCGTTCTGAAAAGTAACTAGATGTGTTACTTACAAGAGCTTTTGTCATGGACCTCAAATGAAACTCAAATTCAATGAGAGGTGAAGGGACTGAGGAGGTCAGAGCAATTAAATAAGTCTACTAAATAAACCTAAAATTCAACATGTATGTTTGCACAATGTGATGCAAACTTGTTCGAAACATAATTTACCTCGCATGGCCCATATGTGAAGCATCATAGACAGTTGGACCACAACTGTACCAGAGAACATGTCTCCCATTTTGGGGTATGAATTCCTCCTTCTGGCGGGTAAGACTGTTGAAGAGCTTGAGAGCAGGGCCCACTGATCTTTCAGGTGGTTGCCACTCCGGCTGAGGTCGTTTTGCCATTCTAAAACAGGTGTTATTTACTTATTTTAATCATTATATGGGTTGGTATGTCTGTAATTAACATTATTATCAAACACAGAACTATAAATATTTGTAATTAGCCATGTTGTTCACATACTGTGACATTAAACCGATTAAGGGGTCACGACTTTTCGTCGTAGTGCTGATGGATTCTATAATATTCATAACAGATCATCAATTTTTAAAACATACTGTAGAAAGTATTCTCCAAAATAACGAATTCCGAGCGCACTCTTAAACTTACACCAAACGAAAACCGTATAGTTACTTGAAATTTACATCACTTCACCTCGCTTCACATTCAGGAACTTACACTGATGAAATCACTTTTAAAATTTCTGACACAACATGCCTTACCTGCTTTCAACACGCGTGGCGACTCTGAACGTCATGGAGGTCATGGACGTCGTGGAGTACACATCCTACTGCATCCTACGTAGGCTACGTCGGCTACGTAGAGATACGCACTGAAGTGAAGTTAGTCATGAACGGTCATGAGTCATGAGCAACATGAACGATTATGAAACCTCGCAAATTCGTACCTGTTTCCAGTAAAACCTGAGGCTTGGGTGGACTAGGGTGATCGTCGATAAGTCGCGATCTGTCGCAATAGATAACGATAGATAAGTGGAGAATAACTTTCAATTAAATTGTGTTGTGATGTATTGGCAGTATGAGAAATAATTTTGCAAATGTAGTTCTATTTTGGTAGCTTTCACGGAAATAGGGTAAGTTTCATCGGGTATGCAAAGATGTAGGTTAATTGTGGTATTGTGTTAAGGCATAGAATAGCAAAATTGTATACAATATTAAGGATTTGAGGTTCTCACAGTGGTGCTTATGAATAGTACTATCTTCTGGGGTATAACCCCATGCACTCCGTTGAAAGTCGACCGACGTTTCGGAGGAACGTATCGCCTCTATCTTCAGGGTTGAAGAGTATGCCGAGCAAGAAACCGATATGAAAGCAGGTGACAAACAGAGCACTGGCTTTTTGACCTTCAACGGACTATACGGTGTTAATCTCAGAAGATAGTGCTCTTGATAAACAGTATGTCTGTAGTTAAGTTTATTCTAGTTGTTTATACTGTGCAGTTAGTCGGTATTGCATTATCGTAAGTTGCAAGACTGACAGCAGCTTACTAATCAGAGTTTTTAATTTATTGTGTGCAGAATAAGACTCCAAAAATGCCGTGCTGGTATTATGAAAAGAAAGAACTTCGTAATACACCATCCATTCAAGACGGAATAGACTATGAGACAGAGTGTCGGTACCGAAAGGAGGGAGCAAGGTTTATTATAGACACTGGAACAAAAATGGACCTGGGCTACAACACAATGGCTACTGGTGTTGTTTACTTCCACAGATTCTACATGTTTCACTCATTCAGAAACTTTCCAAGATATGTAAGCAATTATTTGCAAAGCGTTCATTAGGTACAGCCTTCTGATTAGTTATAATTATTACACATTTTCTCAGTGATAGTGCTGCCTAAGTAGTGGATTTTTCATTACCTTGCATTGAACTTGAGAGTGACTTCCTGAAATTGCTTTGCCATACTTGCTATACTAATATGTGATTTCAAGACAGTGTAAATTAATTAGTCAACCAGAGGCAGGTTACTGTGTAATCAAATAGTACAGATTGAGGTTAAAATGGTTTATGCACATTAAATCTCACTGATTACACAATTTGTAACTTCCCCACCTAGAGTGTGGTGAGCAAAATGATCCAGTATTTGATTTAGTATTAAATATCCAACCCTGCAATGAACAATGTTCTATAACATGGTAACACTTACAGTAGATCATGAAGATTTGTTCTTACACTTCCGTAGCATGCTGGTATCGCGCTGTTCCTGCACATGTGCCAATTTAGACAAGATGGCTGACAAAGGAAGACTGTTTGTAGAACAGTGCATGAAAACAGTGTTGCTCTTTACTGAAACAAGAAATGTGGTGGTCACACAGAGATTTCATGCCCATTTTCAAATGCTATGGGCGCTTTCATTCAAGCCAATTAATACATTTTATAGCCAGTTTAATAATGATGGTTTGGTGTTGGAGAGGAAATGTCGTTGGCCTGTATCTCTACGTTCTCCAGAGAACATTGACACTATCAGAGTGGCACTGCAAAGAAGTGCCAATAAATCAACAAGGACAGCACAACTAGGGATATCCAGACAATTGGTACAACAAATATTGAAAAGTGATTTGAATTTGTATCCATACAAAATGACAGTGTTGCCTAAACTTAGAGTTCAGAACAAACATTAAAGAATGATATTTGCTGAATGGGCTCAGAATAACAAGGTATCGTTCAACAATGTTTGGTTTTCTGATAAGGCACACTTCCACTTGGGTGGTGTGGTTAATAAACAAAACGTGCGATTTTGTGCATCAGAGAATCCATGTGTGATTCATGAAGTCATGGACTGATAGGGCCAATTTTCTTTGAAGAGACAGTGAACAGTGAGCTCTGTTTAAACATGTTGCACAATACTTTTGTGACTCACTCTCTTGCTACAGGTTTCCTGTTACAAATTCAATGGTTCATGCAGGATGGAGCCAGGCCTCACACAGCGAATGTTGCTTTTTACTTTCTGCATGACACTTTTGACTTGCATTTCATATCAAACTGATTTCCTGATCATTTTGTATGTGGACAGAACTGGACCCTGAATAGTCGTAATTTAAATCCATGTGACTACTTTCTTTGGTGATTACTTAAGGAAAAGATTTTTCTGAAAAGGCTGCAAACAATAATGGAATTGTGAGCACTAATCATTCAGGCCTTCAATGAGATAACTGAGGATATGTGCCATCGAGTAATCAGCATGACAGTTCATGTTGAAGTTGCCGGATATAATGGTGGTCATATTGAACACTTGATTCACGGAGGATACATCTACATGCTGTGATCTTTCTCTTTATATGTTAGTTTCTAGTATTATAATTGAAATAAACGTTTCATTAATACATCAAATATGGGATCATTTTGTGCGCCACCCTGTAAGAAATCATTGGACCTTTGGTTACCATAATATGATTAAAGATGTTATGTTGCTGTACCCTTTTTTTGTTTTCAGGTAACAGCATGTTGCTGTTTATTCTTGGCAGGAAAAGTGGAGGAGACGCCAAAGAAATGTAAAGATATAATTAAAACAGCTCGGAGTCTACTTACAGACCAGAAGTTCTTGACATTTGGGGAAGATCCTAAGGTAACCACTGTTTCTGTTAGTGGATTACACATCTTTGGAGGTACCTACATGAGCATTTACCAGATTAGCTTTTTTTCCAGTCACCATTTTCATCACTCAACCTTAAATAGTACCATAAAACATGCAGCCTGCCCCTGTGAGTACAGTACAGATTATGCAATGTTAATTATCTGTGTGGTTATGTAATGTCACTAAACTGTGTCGAATAGTAAGGTGATTGTGAATAGGGAATTGGGAAGGATTTGAGAGGAAGAGTGGTCGTGGCCTAGTCTGAAGTACTTTTCTTGCATTTGCCTCAAGGAACTGAAGAGAAGCACAGAAATCCTCAGTTGGGATAGCTGATATCTTGACTGAGATTTCAAGTGGCCGCCTCCAGAACACAAGTCAGAAGTGTTACGACTTGAGCCAACTTGCTTGTTGGGTTATGTTAGCCAACAAGCAAACCAAAGTAATGGCTAAACTCACATCTAAGTAAGAGATACAGTCTTGGATTCAAAATTATTCTGACATTTCGGAACCGAATCAATCCATATGTTCCTTGGATATCGTTTCTTTTAAAAGGTGTTTTTGTCTGTCACATTAAAACAGGCAGCCATCCCATACTATTTGTTATAGAAAAGTTACACACGGTACAATTGATAGCTTATTGCCGATTTTGGTCATGGGTCTTTGCAGTGTGTGGATGTTGACAGTGTTGCCAATTTACATGCTGCCTTCATCTTTAGGGTCAAAGTGAGAGGGCCATGCTTGGTGAACACTTGAATGGGTGACTGCTTATGAAAATCAGTTGCTGCTAGCATTTTGGTCCAGTCAATGGCCTGTAGAAGGGTGAGTTAGTTAGTTAGTTATTTAGAGAGGGTGGGTTTCCCCATGCACAGCGACCAGTTTGATCTATTGTGCTTCCCTCTATGATATTCTACCAGTGTCTTTACCCTACTGATAAATGGTGCGTACCATCAGTCCCGCCGAGCAAGCGAGTTCGGCCACTTGCTTAGCGGCCCCCCATCCATCAGAGGCCTTAGAGGCTATTGTTGGGCGGGAAACGTCCTGGAATTTGGCTCAGTGATCCCCTTTGGGGATATGAGGTTCTTTTACGTGGCTTAAAGTCCCTCCCGGAGGACTTGTTCCCTGAATTTTTCCGCCCTTAAAAATTCGACGACCTCCGCCGGGTATTTGAACCCGCGTACCACGAGTCATGAGGTGGGAACGTTACCTCTAGACTACGGAGGCCGCTTTGTAGAACGGTTGCTTTTGGTAATACTTGTCTGTCCATTCTCCCTTTAGGTCCGGGACTGAGCACCAGCCGCCATTCTTCTCTTCATGGGTCTGTTGAACTAGAACCTGCATGAACAGTCAGTCACTCATTGTACTTACTCTGATACTGAAGATGTAAGCAGAAAGTACCTCCAAAACATTGGCAACACTGCCCACATACACACTGTGCAAAGACTGTATAGCAGTATTAACATTGCCAGTTAACCACCGTGAGAGCCTATAATTAGTAAAAGCGAATGACCTATACTTGAAATACTTAATTATGCACTGTCTTTTCATTGCAGGAAGAAGTGATGACACTTGAAAGGATTCTTCTTCAAACTATTAAGTTTGACTTACAAGTAGAACATCCTTATAGTTACCTTCTAAAATATGCGAAGTGCCTGAAAGGTGAGAGTTTATCTTTTTATTTTTTTTGGTGGGGGGTGTTTCGCAGTAAGTGGTTTAGAAACTACTCGGAGGAAAGCCAATGAGGCTGCAGATAATGCCATGACCCTTTTCAAAAGTGATGTTTCAAGTGTTAGGGAACTGTGAATGGTCTTCTGGGATGTGATGTCGTATAGTCTGTAGAAAGATAGCTTGAAGATGGAGAAATGTTGGTACCTTTCTCTCAGATTGCTCAGGAGCACATCCTAGAAGACACTACTATGTGAACTCCAAATCTCAGATCATTTTACAATAATTGTAAGTTCAAGTTATGAAATCCACTTCTGTTTTCCTTAATGCTGTCGAGTACCGGTTGCGATTCCCTTTGGATGTCAGACGCTGTTTCAAAACGTTGTCCCTTCAATTTCATTTTCAATTTGGGAACAACAAAGCGAAATCACAGGGGGCGAAGTCCAGTGAGTAGGGAAGATGGGGAACGATAACCATGTTGCTGTTAGTCACAAACTCTGCGGTTTCAGGGATGTGTGGGCTGGTGCGTTGTCTTGATAAAGGAGCCAGTTGTGGTTGCACCAAAGTTCCGGTCTTTTTCATCACACATTTTCTTTCAAGCATCTCAACATGTCACAGTAAAAGTCAGAGTTGACCATAGTTTTAGGAGGAACAAATTCATGGTGAACAATACCCGTCAAATAAAAAAACAATGAGCATTATCTTTGCTAGGCCGCGCTATAGCTCAAGTGGTTAGTCGCTGGTTTCCCACCGTGGCGGTCTGGGTTCGATCCCGGTTCTGGTCAAGTGGGATTTGTGGTGGACAAAGAGGTGCTGGGGCGGGTTTTCTCAGAGTACTTCAGTTTACCCTGCCAATCTTCATTCCACCAAATTCTCCATCATCATAATCACCCGGGGCAGGCTACAATAGGCCAATCAGTGGCTACCGTGCTGAGTGGGCCCAGTTGGACTCCACCCCCCACTAAGTGAAAATGCTCTTTGTTGAGCTCCGGACCTGCCGTGCCTCTTTTGCTTGTGGTGATTGTGGGCTCTTCAAATGTGATGATTGTTGCTTTGTTTCTGGATCATAACTGTAAATTCAACTTTTGTCACTCGTTATGATTGTAGAGATAAAAGTCAGGTTCTCGTTAGCCTTTTCTCATAGCTGAAGACACGTTTAGGCACCGCAGCTTTTGATCATTTGTCAAGAGTTAGGGAACAAACTTCGTGGCAATGCATGTTTGTTCACATTTTGTGTTAAGATCTCATGGCAAACTTCATAACTGATCCGAATGGCGTCTGAGAGCTCATTGATTGTTTGACAACAGTCTTTGTGGATGAGTTCTAAAATTTTTTAAAATTTTCTGTCATTTTTCTGGTGTTTGGCCATCCTGAATATTCGTCATCTTCAGCTGACACTCGACTGGCCTTGAAACATGAATGCTATTCAGAAACTGCTGTCTGGCTTAAAGAATGTTCTCCAAAAGCCTCACAAAGCATTTCAGATGTTTCAGTGGTGGATTTACTGAGCTTCACACAAAACTTGATATAGACACGTTGCTTAATTTTGCCGTCCATCACAGACAAAACAAAACAAAACAAAAAACAAAGAGTCAAAAAAGCACTTGTGTAAAACAATGCGAGTTCACAGTGTGGTGTAACATGGCAGATTGATGCAATAGGCTTGCAGATGTATGACCTTGGCCTGCCCTCATATTTTTTCACCAAGGCAGTTACAACAGTAAGAGTCTGGGAACTTTCCGATAGAACCTAATATTAACACAAAATCAGTCTTACTTGTAAATGGACATTCGCTCACTGGAAGAATTTTAATTGTGACTATTTTCATATTTCAGGTGATAAAACAAAATTACAGAAGATGGTGCAGATGGCTTGGACATTTGTGAATGACAGGTAATTTGACACATTTCGAGTGTTACCATCACATTTCATTATGAGTAGTTCTTTTTGCTCTCACTTAAAAGAACTTGCGTAACTTTGTAACATTTTGACATTTTTCTGTTACAGTTTATGTACCACTTTGAGTTTACAATGGGAACCAGAAGTGATTGCTGTGGCTCTTCTGTATCTTGCTGGAAAGCTCAGCAAGTTTGAAGTCGTTGATTGGTCAGGTCGCACAGCGAAACATCTACGTTGGTGGGATATGTTTGTTGAAGATCTCACAATGGATCTGCTTGAAGGTATGACTGTACAGTAGAAATAAACTGATTTCAATTTGAGTATGCAGCTGCACACTCTAGTACCATTTTAAAATATTCTCTGTAGAGTGTTGTTTTGTGCTGCTTTTGGGTCTTGGGAATGCAGTTGAACTTCATTTTTAATTACTCGGATGTTATGTAGATAGATTTTATTTATTTGTTTAAGTTGGCTACATAATTATGCTGTCAGTATGAAGTCTATATGGTGTCAGTGCTAGGACGTTCAATGAATGTTGAGCAGTTTGAATAAGAACTGGTATGAGAAACCAAATTACTTGCAGAAAACCTGCCCCACTGCCACTCTGTCCACCACAAATCCCACATTACCTGACCTGGAATCATACCCTGGGCATCACTAATCATCTGAGCTGTGGCAGTGCCCTAGATGGCATATATTAAAAATGCTAAAAATTAGTTTTATGTGCAAGAGGTCAGCCAAAAATACAATGGGTAACCACTGCTGACAGTAATTCAAATAGAACTTGGCATATTTAGTTGTCTTATAAATTTTTGCCTATTTCATGCTGAGAGGTCCATTTGTGTGGTAAAATTGTGTTTTCACTATGGGACAAGCGTAGCTGCTCCAAATGATATGATGTCCATCAACACTGTCATATCTACACACGTATGAGTTGGCAGTATCTGTGAAAGAAAACATATTAACAAAAGAGATGGCATAAGAAATGCTGTCCATGAAATGTTAATTTGTTCAGATCTGTTGTTAAACATGACTAAGTCATTGGCGTTGATCTACATTGCACATACTTTTGCCAAACCATCTGGAGGTAATGATATGATTTATGCTAATTTCACAGATATTTGTCATCAAGTGCTGGATCTGTACTCTCAGCCGCAAACATTAACATCTCCTGACTCTCCTCCCCTGTTGCCATCTACTCACTCTCCAACAATGAAGAAGGAACGGGTGCCGCAACCAATATCGCCAGTACCTCCACAGCTCTCTCCAGTGCGTACAGGTACGGTGCTGTAGTATTGATGGTGCTGCCAAATTAAAACTGGGAAAAAGCAGAAATGTTACAGCAACACAATATGTATCAAGCACTAACTCTGTTTTTATAGTGAAAATATAATAGATTTATTAACTTACATTATGCTGAGACCACAGACAGAAGGCCTATAGATTGACCATTTCCACATCTCTCATGAGCTCTACCCTCCAATCTAGCATTCCATTCACAGAAATGTTAGTATTGATAACCACATGATAGTCTTTGATAGTGAAAAGCATTTGGGCTGGTTTGACACTGGCCAGAGAAGCCTTGAGTGCCATCAGTCCCACTGTTCATGGGACTTTTTTCATGGCCTCAGTATGATGTGTGACGTGTTAACCCCATAGTATGTTGAACACTGTATGACCATTGCTGCAAGCTGCATGTGTTGAATTATAATTTTCCTGTATCTCATTATGTTATGGAATATAAGCTTGCTTAACTTCAGATAATCTCTGCATAGCCTTTATTGAAACTACAGACACAAAACTCGCAGTAGCATGTAATATTTTCTGTAGTTACTGCTTTCATAGCACACTGGTCTAGTAATCAAAATGGTGCATTCACTGAGATAGAAAAGGCACAGGGCATGCTTTGATTCAGTGAAACATGATCCATGACTTATTCAGTGCTAAGGTTACTGGACTTAAGTTCCTTGGACTTCTCCTTATGTGGTCTGATGAAGTGTAGCAACTGTGGGACTATGCCAAACAGCACAAAAGCACTGAAGATTTGGTTTACATAAGCCATATAGCAAGTGGATGAGGGTTTGAACAAGACTGGAGTATTATTGGTACATATGTCATGCTAGGAAAGGAACACACATAGGGCACCTGTAAAAGAACTTGAAGATGTTCGCTTATATTTGCTACAAGTTTCATGTTCCTGCCTTTAGTGAAACCCAAAGCCTTTAATTCTCAAGGTTTTAATTAAGTTTTTAAAGTAGGATTACAGGGTTTCTGGACTTTGTCTGGTCAAGTGATTGAAATTAACTCATTTTAATGGACCAAACTGAGTCAGCACCCCTCATTTTTTTGCTTGAGGTTAGAACCAGGTCCAGTTTCCAAAACTGTTCTCAGGATACTAGACATTGGACACGTCCAGAAACCCAGTGCTGCATGTGCTGTATGGTACAATTGTCAGAACCTTTTAGAATTTAAAATTTTAATTGATGTCCGTGTCTTATTTTGTGTACATTTTAAATGTTCCTGAGTCAACTAAGTGAGGTTTGGAGTCCTGCTTTCTTGTCTCTGTCTGTACAGTCCTCTAGCACACGCAGCCTGTGACTGGTGTGAGATCTGGCATATATGATGACTTTCCATAAAGTTTCCCACAAGAAGTGGTCCTGCGGACAGTTATTACAGATGAAGAACACACAATTTAAAAATTTGTTTTTGGCAGATTGTTGTCCCAAAAGTCGCATGATCACCAATCAATATAGTAACTGAAAATGTTTATTGAATTTGCAAATGGTTTAGTTTGAGAAGGGAGCTGGAATAATGCAGCTAGTATAGTGATTGGCTATGGGCTGGGTGGCAGAAGATTTGGAGTTCAAGTCCCAGTAGAGGCAAAATATTTGTTCTCTCCATGTCACCCAAACTGGTTGTGGAGCCCACACAGCCTCCTATCCAGTGGGGATTTGTTGCACTGACCACGCGACACTCTCTAGCCACAAAAGTTGGCACTAAACTTCCCCGACAAGCAGCTTCTCTCGGTCAGTATAGTTCACTTGCGGACTTAAATCACGGAGTTTATTTGTTTGTTTGTTTTTGGTTTGACACCGACATATCTTTATAAATTTTTGAAAGTGTATACTTCACTTGTAATAGTCTAACAATTCTTTGTAACTTTGCTGGTCAGGTCCACTTTTAAGTACAAGTGTAGGTGACAGTTTTCTTTTCCTCTGCAGTAGTAATCCTGTAATAATATAATTTAAGTTATAAAAATTCCATTTATTGGAATTGTTTTATTTACAGCCATTCCTGTAAAAGTGAGCAAGGATATTAAGCCATACATGATACCAAGCAATGGAGAAGGAAGCCATGATAAGACAGACAAAACTTCTGAAATTGTCAATCAGTATCAATATGGTGCATATTCACATTCATCGATGACTCCAACATTTCCACCAACGTACACAACTCCACTTCCTGTTAATGTGACAGCTCCTGTTCCCACTAATACATCCACGGCTCCTTCCGCAGTACAGCCGAGCCCTCATGTTCCGGGTGCAAGCACAGCCGCAACATCATACACCCCATATCCACCTCCTCCACACCAGTACACTACATCACAGTATTACCAAGCGCCATCTGGACCACCTGCCAGTAGACCTTATTATCCACCTGGAGGGGGGCAAGCCAGTTAATTTACCGTATATTCATTGTAATGATGTGCTGTTGTGACACCATTTAGGGCCCTAAAAGGGGCAGTTTCTTCTGGCCAGGATCTGACCTCTTTCCCATTTCCATGGATCTGAGTGATCATCTTGGAACCTTAATATGTAACCTAACCACATTCTCAATTCATCCCAGAAGATGGAGGTAGTGTGCTAGTTTGAAACTTTGATACCCACTCGCAGGACTACATTTTGTAACAACACAGAAGATCACAACCTGAACAGTCTTCACCATAAAGACTTGAAAGTTTATGTTTATCATTTTGCAGTACCATAATGAACTGATAACTGTTCAGATGGGGTTGCAAATGCTGAAGTTTCAACTGGCTCACTATATTTATTTATATGGCAGTTGCATTACTTATACAGATATTTTCAATCTGGTACAAGATGTATATATAGCTGTGCATTTATTAATAAATCTGATTTCATGACAAGTGAACTGACAGGTCTCAAACACACTCTTATTATATGTATAGTCTGTCTTTTCTGTAAAGTTGTGTTTCATTAATACATAAATGTGCATAAAACCAATCATCTGCTGTAAGTTTGAAATTTTTGCCGTACAAGAAAAGTACAGCCCCAGACATGTACCGATATTGAGCTTAAAAAAAATGGGTTACCAGATGTCTCAAACATATTCGCATCAAATCCATAAACAACACTTTATATACCGTATTTACGCATGTATAGGCCGCACATTTTTTGCCAAAAATTCTAGAGGAAAACTGGGGTGCGGCTTACATTCGAAATATTCGAAATCACACTTCATTTAAAAAAAATTATATTCATAATTAGTAATACAGGGTGTTCAAAGATCGAGGAAACCGGGGCAGCAACGTAGAGCAGATGGAACGTTTCTCCGCGACTACTGTGCCCCTCCCCGCTAGCGAGAGTGCAGTCGTGTCGCTGATACCCTTACATCAGTTTCTGTACATGCACACATTTATAAGAATACTGTAAAAAGATAACACAAACTTACCGTGCTTTATAACAGGTGCTGAAAGTGACCCCCTTCTGCTTGCAAACATGCTTCGCATCGCATGAATAAATTATGCGACACTTTCTGAAGTTGGTCCACGGTAATTGAACCATATTACTGTTCATCACTTGACTCGTTACTGTCGATGTCGCTCTCGCTCGAAGTTTCGCTGTCAGGTGATGTCAGCCATACAGCGTCATCTTCAGTCCCGTCCATTGCGTTGGAAATGGATGTGACTTTAAAACTTTTGGAAACCATTTCTTCTGGTATGGTGTTCCATGCAGCCACAATCCACTCACACATTTGACTTAATGAAGGTTTCTTCAATCGTCCAGTCGGCGTCATCTCCGTGGAACCGCATCTCCAGTCCCGGTAAAAGCGCCGCAAATGAGACTTGAAAGGACGGTTTATTGACACGTCAAGTGGTTGTAACATGCCAGTCATCCCCCCTGGTATCACAACCATATCACTTTTCTCCTGCCTCATCTTCACTTTCACATTTTCAGTTAAATGGCTTCGAAAACTGTCAACCACTAACATTGACCGCTGACGTAAAAGTGCGCCTGGGCGCCGAAACCACACTGATTTCAACCAATCCAGATAGAGCTCTTCTGTCATCCATCCTTTTTCTTGAACTCTCACCAAAATTCCCGGTGGAAGCTTTTCTTTCGGCAATGTTTTGCGTTTGAAGATTACAAATGGTGGTAGTTTGTTTCCATCAGCAGTGATACCAAGCATTACGGTACACCGCTGCTTTTCTGCTCCTGCAGTCCGCACATGCACTGTTTTTTCGCCTGCTTTGTTCACTGTACTTTCACCCGGCATTTCAAAGAACACAGGAGTTTCATCAACATTTCCAATAGCTCCCATGGTGTAGTTGTGCGTCTTTCTTAATTTCAGGACATGTTTTTGAAATGCAAGCAGTTTCTGCTTGTATATGTCGGAAAGGCGCTGCACTATTGACGTCCGTCGCCGAATTACAAGATCATGTCGGGCCATAAAGCGCCTTGCCCATCCATAACTTCCCTTAAATTCATTACGAGGAATTTTCATTCTGTCCGCTATTTTGAGGCCTTCAAATTGAATCATTTCCACAGACACTGAAAATCCATCCGCCCGTGTATTACGCACGTATCGCAAAAGTTTATTTTCAAGTTCTGGAAATTTAGCTTTCTTTCCGCGGAAAGATTGTCGATTTTGTGACGTTTTTTCAAGGGCATCTTTCGTTAGTATCCATCTTCGCACATTTTTTTCGTCAACGTCGAATTTTCTCCCTGCTGCTCGATTTCCGTGTTCTTGTGCGTAACGCACCACTTGAAGTTTAAATTTAGACGTATAACCTGCTCTTACTCGACCCATGTTTCACTCAGAACTAACCAGGCAAGTCAAGTAAAGGCGAAAAGGTTATAACTCTCCCCCGCAATGCCTTTGTTCCGAGCGGTACCGTTATTTTCGCTAGTTGCGAACTTAGGAATGTTAAACGTTGCCAAATTTCGGAATAATTTCTACTCCTGAAATAATATTCCAAGAAAATTATTTTTTCTATAATTTCTGTCTGAAAATTGTGCTGCGGCCTATACACGCACGCGGCCTACACATGCGTAAATACGGTATGTATACATACAGGGTGGCACAAAAGTAGCAGTACAATTTGAAGTCAGGTTTATAGTTGCCATCGCACTTCATGTCTGGATCCTTAATGCCATTAGTGTATGAGTATGCAGTGTTCATGATAAATGTGAACTGTATCCACCATGGCAGTATACAGTTTTTAAAATAGTGTGCAGTAACATGAAGGCAGTCTTAAACTGCTGTGATATTTTCCGTCATTCTATATTAGTGAAATTCCAGCATGAATGTGTTGAATCATGATAATTCTGACCATAACTTCGCGTGTTATAAATTTCCTTAGTTATCCAAAACATGGATTTCTAATATATCGTTACATGTTAGTGACTACAGACAGTGTTTGAATTGATAATTAATCGTTGCTAGGTAGTGGCTGCTAACAGTACAACTCAAGATGGACTGGTGATGACTGTGACCTCCGACTATCAACAAACTGGCCTCTCAAGTTGGTCCTCATTACATAACCTCAGCACAGACTGCATATAAACTGGATCTGTTTCTGTCCTCAGGTAAAGTGTGGAGAAGACACCTACTCAGTTGGGTCCCTAAGAAAGAGCTCAGCCAGCTTTTTCTAAGGGGCCCAACTGAGTAGATGTCTTCTCTCCCCTTCACATGAGGACGGAAACAGATCAATTTTCCAAAATGTTGTGTTTTCTATTCTCTAGAATACTGGATGATGGAAAAAGTCCAAAAACCCATTAATTTTATGTGTTATATGCCATCAACAGAACCCTTTAGAATCTACTTGGTCATATGTCTTTAAGCATCATACTGCCCAAATGATTGGAGTTGAGAGGCAATTTATTTAATTACACAATACTTACAGTTCTAGTACTATTACATTTCCAAGAATCCTTGGGTGTAGTATGAAGTATCTTAAAATTTAGAACCTCAAGTGTTATTTGTTCTCAGTCATGCATAAAAAATGGAAAAAGCAAATCAAGTAACCTCCTTCAGGGTAATTGTTGTTTCTGAGATGTAACATATTGTAAGTATTTATAAAAGTATCAACTCTGATTATGTGCCATTCTGAAATGATGTATTGTTATTAAATATGTGGCATGCCATGAGAGAGTCCTTCGATCAAATCCCAAACTAGCTACCCTAAAATGTATCATTTCCTCAGTGCCACCAGATGAATGGAAGAAAATTATTGCATGATCGGTCAGTACCCCTATAATAATCTGCATATAGATCAATGTGATCGCTATCTCTACTTCAGTGGAATGGAATATATGTGGATACTGGTACAAACACCAAAAAAGTTTCACAACATTGAGAACAGGTGATGATCAACAGTATTGAGTTCCAAACTGTTACAATAAGATTTGAGGTGACTACATAAAGTCTACCTTGTTTTACATATTATTCAGCAATGTTAAACTGACCTTAAGATGTGAGGAGAGTTATTACTTGCAATTTTGGATAGATCAAGGAGAAAGTAGATTTGGAATGTACTTTAAACATAGTGTGACATGGATGCCGCATCGGGAAGTGTGGGTCACGTGAACTCTGCGTTTCCTCGAGTGACGTCACATACCCCCACTCCTTGTACCAGTACGCAACACTCGGTAGGCGCCCCCCTCACCCGCGGTGGCGTAGCAGTGGAGCGGCTGTGTTGTTACCAAGGGATACCGCGGTTACTATACAGCAGTAAACAATTCTCGACAGTGTTGCTAGGCAACCTGGAAACACGGCGTCACGCAACAGCGCTACCTATCACGTAACTGTTTTCTGTGTTGTCCATGCCGAGGCTAAATAAGGAGCATCGAACACTATTTAGTAGTGAGTGAGGATTGAGCCAGTTACGAGTGAGTGAGTTACTAGAGAGAGAGTAACCAGCCAATTACAGTCTAGCACTCTTCGGAGAGAATGGAAACAAGAGAAGTAATTGTAAGTAATTACAGTAATTGTGAGATTGTAAATTGTGTAAATGTATGAGCGAAGTGGGATAAATTCGCTATATCAAATAAGGCGTGATGTTACTTGTCGCGTGACATATACCCAACACGTGACAATACTCTACTCGTACAAACTTACACAGATACATCTATTGAAGAGTTTTGAACTAGGGACCCACCTCTTCAAGACAGGGTTTGCAGCGTTTAATATAAAAATATATCAAGCAGAGTGACGGCTTGAGATGTTTCCTATTTCGGCTTTCCACCTGCTTTCACGCTAGTTCCTTGCTTGGCTTATTCAGCCATGAAGATGTTCCTACGAAGCATCGATTGACTACATCGACGTACTAATCCTTGGTATTCGTGCTGTACTGCCTTGACCGGCTGTGACTGCTATCTTGTTATTTGGGGCGAGGGCACAACGAGGAAACTGGAAACCACAACGCAACCGCAACTTCAGAGAATTGTTATCAGCAAGAGTTGAACACATGTTACTGAATGGAGCGGCGCAAATTGAGGAAAGTGTATTGCCGTTTTCTCACTTTGCGGCGATCCACAGTAACATGTGTTCAACTCAGGCTGATAACAATTCGGAAATTGCGGTTGCGTTGTGGTTGCCAGTTTCCTTGGTGTGCCCTCGCCCATACATTTAGTAATCCGTGCCGGTCCGGGCTGTTTAGTGCAGTGCAAGTGTAGTTTGTCTAGTGCGGTCTAGTGTTATCGTGTGGTTCTTTGGTGCTTTGGTGTGTCTCGCGTAAGCGGTTGGTTAGGTGTGGTGTTGCGGCATGTTGGTTGTTCCAGTATTTATTGAATTGTCCCTCGAGGACCAGGTAATTTTGAATTTTGCTTAGGTAGTGATAAGGGTTCTGTGGTTTATTTATGTAAATCAGTCATTAAAGAAGGTACAGTTTGTAATGTTGAGGAAAAATTTATCAATCTGTCGGGATGTTACAGTTCTTAGGTTAAGCCTGACTTATATTTGTTACGATCCGGTTTATTATTGTTTGACAGGCGCAGGAACTGCGAGCATATTTTAAAAGTCTCGGTGCCGAAATATCTGAAGAAAAGTCCCCGAAAGGCATAGAAGATGATTTGCATAAAATAATTGGAGTTTGTGATGCTTGTTTCAAAGAAGTCCCTGAAGCAGAAATTGAAAGCATCCTTAATGGAATTGTTTCAATGCTTGTTTTGGTAAGTTTTGCTGTTAGCTGGCTAAGGACAAGACAATATAATTGCCTTGAAGGTTGTCTTTACAGTACACTGATCAATTGTGTGAGTTATGTCAGAATGGTTTTTACTAGATTTAATAACCTTGAAACCCATCATTAATGGGAACATAGAGGTCTAGTGGAGGTTAGAATAATTTTTGTTAGGTTAATAATTAAACCTCAAACTGTATGATAGGTATACATCAATTTGTGAAGGTGTTTCCCTCTTAATAATGTAAGGAACGTTAATGATGGAGAAGTTTGGATATATGGACTCCAAGCAACAAGAGACCACATTATTAGCCTTGTAACCCCGATCTTGACATATTAGATCTTGCTGATCTATGTGGAATTTTTTAGAAGAAAGTTATGTTTATATAAACTTTGTATAATGATGGTGATGTTGGTTGTGGTATTAATAATTACATTTTTTGATTTGCATACAAGAGTTCTGGTGTTCAGATGTGACTAAAAGAGGATAGGAATACCTTTTTAAGTTCCTGACCAGAAATAAGCCTTTGAAATATTTGAAAATAATCATGTGAACATCTCCAGCATTGCAGTTTGATCGAAGAGCTTCTTAATTTGAATTCCTTTACAAGATAATAATGTTAGAACAGTGAACAAAAAACTTATCACTATGAAATATCATTGTATAGTACAGAAAAATGCTTGTATTAAATATTTTAATAACAGTGCCAAAAATAGTGAAGGTAGAAAGGTGGTGTTTGTTTGTTTGGAATAAACTGTTATTGTCTAGGAGTAGGGGATGTAAACCCATGCTGCTATGCGCTGGCAGCTGTATTCAGTCTTGGGGGGGCTAAGGATATTTGTTTTATAGACAATGTAGCACTAGCCTGCTAGACCTTACATTTGCTCTTACAGTAATGTATTGAATGGGTGGTAAAGGTTGAGCACTATTCCATGAAGTTATATGGGAGGAATGGAAATATTGCTCCGAATATTCTGATGTTGCTACTGGATGGAGGTGAGTGGTCAGCTACTTTACCTCCAGGGATAGAGACCCTGGTTCCCATTGGATAGGAGGTTGGTTGGGTCCCATGGCTGGTTTTGGCCCCTGCTGGGTATTGAACTCCGATTCCTTGGTCATCCTTAACTTAGTCACTATACTGACTGAATCACAAAGTAGTTCTGAAATTGTGTTTCAATATGTTTTATTCATTTAGCGATTTCTAACAGTTGTTTTTGTTTGCTGACTGAAAGAATAGCAGCAACATCAGAGAATCCTGTTTGATGTTAGTAAGAGGTCTCAGAAGTAGACTGTTTATAGGTTTGACAGACAGAAGGCTATTTGGTACTTATATATTAATGAATGACCTAAGTAACTTCAAAATTTATCATCATATTTTCCACCACATTAGCATGTGCATTGTCTGAAAGTTCACTTGTGAGCCTATCGATATAATGAATGGCTGTAACACAGGAGGGCTCTGCCATATCCAAGATGTCACCATCATTCAACTGCAGAGGCCTGGGTTTGGTCCTAGGTCAGGTCATATGGGATTAGGGTCGGTTGACTGTAGATTAGATCAAGCCATCTCTGTCACAGGCCTTGGAAGCCCATAGGATTGTGAAATGTTGAGGCTCCCAAGTAAACTCAAAATTTATTATCATGTTACCTGACATATTAGGATGTGTAGTCTGGAAGTTCACTTGTGAGCCCACATGTATATAAAATGAGTGGCCATAATACAGGAGGGCCATGCTGTAGTTCTGTAAGTTGCCAGCTTCCCACTGCAGTGGCCTGGGTGTGGTCCCATGTCAGGTCATGCAGGATTTGTGATGGAAAAGTGGCACTGGGGCAGGTTTTCTCCAAGTACTTTGGTTTCCTCTGCGTATTCTTATTCCACAAACTGCTTCACACTCATTAGTCACTATCATTGGCACTATGCAGCCTTGATACTGATGGTGTTGTTAAATAAACAGTTTTAAAAAAAAGTTACTCAGGAGAGCCAACTATTCTGAAAGGAGTTGTCAGCTTACATGTATTTCTTCTTTCTGCATGCCTTTATGATGCATTACCATAAAATCCAATAGCTGAAGCATAGCTTGATCTAATGCTAATTCTCACCCTTGTATTCTCTTGGTAGAATTCCTTGTCAGAAAAAGCTTATCACCTCTTCTTCCATGCTCCCCAGATCCCACAGCTTCATAATTTCCAAAGGAATTCAGAATACCGGCAACTCTTATGTCAGTCTGAGAGTTTGAAATATAAATATTACACATGACATACTTTTTTATACTATTACACAAAGTGTTCATATTACAGATTTTAATAAACAGCACCTGAAGTAGTAAAGGTAAGAGGGTAAAGTTGTCTCTGTGGTTAATTAACTGATGCCATTTCCCACTCCTCTGTTCCGGCAGTTGGACTTCAATTTGGGAATAATGTCATGATATTTAAGATTGCAAACTAGCTGTACCTAGCATGAAACTTGGTATGTATATCATGCCATCTGAGGCCATCTCGACAGTGTACTTCATAAATCATACCCATCAGTAATACCAACATTGAAGCCTTCCAGATTGTATTGTTATATTGGCTTCATTGTACAGATGAAAGTTTTCTCTCTACTTATTGTATCAGATACTCAGATTACAGTAGAAGGAAATGAGGTGATCAGTTCTTTCCAGAATTTCTTGTTATTTATATCATGCCCCTTTGCTTTTCCAGATTCCTGTTGAGAGAGCAGAAAATTTGATTCTTGCATTTTGTGAGAAACTGACAAAAGCACCAGGATATAAACTAGGAATAGTATCTTTGAGGGTGTAAGTTTTAACGTATTTTTGTTACTTATATACTAATGGGCAACCCAGATATCTTTAAAATATACCAACATGTTATCCTCCATCTTACCACTGCCATCCTTAGCAGGTCATTTCTAAAAACAAAATCCAAAGCCCAACTATAGAAGGGTTCTAGATAGCCTAACCATAGAAAGTTGTTAGATACTTACTTTTAAAAACAAAACCAGGGGTGTAAGCTTTTAAAACAACACAAAGCCCAACCTTTTAAAAATAAAGCCAGAAGCCTAGCTTTGTGGATGCGTTTTTGCAGGCAGATTATAAGGCTTGCTTTGACTCTTCTTACAATTGAGGTTCTGAGGTTGGTACCACAAATGAGGCAGTGTGGCAGTTAATTGTGAAGTTACATGGATCATCTGTTAGTGCGTAAAGTACTGTAATGTTTTTTACTATCAAAATGAATTTGCTATCTTGCATTGATTCAAATGTAGTTAAAGAAGAGGTGATATTACTGTACTTACTTTTTCAGTGGCTGGCTGATGTTTCAGTCTTTGGATGAGCATTCTCCCATGCGGTATCATGTATATTACCACTTGGTGCAAGTGGCTAAGCAAGTAGATCAAGTTCAAGCAGTTTTTAAAGATGTAGATCACTTGAAACAGCAGTTCGCTGCCTGCCCACCTTCAAATGAACAAATGCAGAAACTTCTCCGACTTCTTCATGAAGTCCTTTTGGGTTGTAAACAAAGGTTTGTCATCATGTACTTAGTTTATTAGGGTCTGGATAAGTTATTTCTTTTGTGTTAACTCGTGTTACTGTTGAACCAGGGAGTTTATTTCAGCCAGCACAAATGTCTTCCACTGGACTATACAGACCCATCTCATGATCTCTTTCTCTAAGATCTGTTTGTCCCAGGGCCCCAGAAATCTGCTTCCTTGCTTGCTTGCTTCTAATGGAGACTGGCCAGGGGATAAAAGTATTTGCATGAAGCTTGCTGCAAGTTGGTGAGCCAGCATTTTGAATTGAATAATAGAATGAAAGATCATTACGTGGATGGTATATTGGCCACTCATTTAAGCCCTGATGTGTGTGTTGTATTTTATGTGGTTTTCCAACCATAACTGTGTATGAATTTTTTGTTTCCCATCCATTTCAGCTTCCTTTATTTAGTCACCCAGTTTATAATTTAACTCATGCCAAAGATGTAGTAGTTGGAATGAACTATTTTGGGAACTGGTGCATTGGTTGTTGGTTATAATAATTCATTGTATTAATTGATCAGTTTATTTTCCTGATTAATGAGATGCTGCATGATCTTGAGTGCTGTAGAGCTGTCTCCATGCAGGAAACTTCTTGAGATGATAATAAATTCTGCACCTTTTGTGTAAACTGAAGTTTATTATAATGCAGACAAGAACCACCATTTCTTAATAGTGAATACACCTCTTGTAGAATGTAATCTAACAATATACACAACATTCTAGTGATATGCAGATGTTCCAAATTAAAATAATTAAAGCCTAATATATTAAGAATTTAGCATTTAATATTAGTAAGTATGTTAATGTAGTGTGTCTTAAAATTGGTTCATATGTTGTTAAAAGAGTTAAATAACTCATTAAATTGTGTGTTTGGTTCTAGGTTTGTTTCTAAAATAGTATTAACATTAAGCTAAAACTAAAACTAGTTTAATGTTGTTGTTGTTGTCATGGTTGTTAATAAATCAAGTGTACTGTGTTTATTGTACCATGATTTCTCCATATTATTCTGATCTGGTTCCATGGAATGCATAAAATCAGTCTTAGGTATTTTGACTGTTTGCATCCTGTTACGTGAGTATGTAAATATGAATGCATGCTTTACAATTCAATAATGAAAATGTGTAAATCAGAACACCTGAGGATGACCCCTATAAAAAGGGTCAAAACATATAGTGGAACATAAGTTAATAAATTATAGTTGTGTTAATGGTGGAATTCATATTATTGGTTATCTTAGGTGTCTCTTATGTGTCTTTATTCTGACAGTGAATTGGCCTCGAAAGTAATGGTTGAGTTGCTGGGAACATACACAGCAGAGAACGCATCACAAGCACGAGAAGATGCGCAGCGCTGTATTTTAGCTGCTCTGGCGGATCCGAACACTTTCTTATTGGACCCATTGCTTGCACTGAAGCCTGTTCGATTTCTGGAAGGAGAACTCATCCATGATTTGCTCTCTGTGTTTGTGGCAGAGAAATTGCCCAGCTATCTACATTTCTACCAGCATCATAAAGAATTTGTTCATTCTCTGGGTAAGAAATTTATACAAGGTGCTGTTGTAAACCACTATGCAGTGAAGTGTTTCTGAATTGGAGCCTTCAGAGATTATAATTTCAAAGTTTAGACATAGGATGTCCTACATCTCTTTGGTCAAACAATTTGTGTGTTAAGATTCTTTGGGCTTTTTATATTTTGGTCTCTATACAGAAGGTATGCATGCCTTTTATGCTTTTGTTCTTGCATTTTTCTTTTTCACATTAAAAGCTCACACTTCACTGTATCTTCAGTACAGGTCACAAAGTTTGTGTCTACAGACATGATTAAAAATTTTGAATTTTTCTGCACTTACAGCATTTATCCGATTACCTGTATGTAACACATGTTAATACCTGGGTTGGTGTAGTCTGTATAGTGACTGGCTATGGCGGAGTGAAAGAGGTTCGAGTTCAAGTCCTGGTAGAGTCAAGAATTTTCTTCACGTCATCCAATCAAATTCTGGGGCCCACCCAGCCTCCTGTCTAATTGGTACTGAAGGCTCTTACCCCGGGGGTAAAGTGGCCAGGGCGTGAAGCTGACCATTCACCTCCAACTAGTGCTGAGATGAAGAAAACTTGAATCTGTACATCCACTCCTCCATATGTCTTCATGGCATAGTGCTTAATTAGTTAAGCTCAGGGAGAAATTAACCTGATTTACTTGATTCTGCTCTCGGATTTTTGCATTGTGTGAGTGTAGGCAGTGTTGTCAGCACTTTCGAGGCACATGCTGCCATCTTTAGTCTTGAAGTGAGTAGGGTGAATGAGTGTTCATATATATATATATGTGTGTGTGTGTGTGTGTGTAGGTTTTGGTCCACTACATATGCAGGAAGGGAAGGGACTAGTGCCTGATCCAGGTCAGTATAGTCAGGTAAAGGTAAAGTTGACCCTGTGTTTACTTAATCAAGCACCACAATGAAGCCATATGAGGAGTTAGGGTATAGCTTTACCTCAGCACTAGATGGAGGTGAGTGGTCAGCTTCATTCCCCAGATGCCTTACCCCCAGGGAAGAATCGCCTGATATCCACTGGATCAAAGGCTCTGTGGGACATTGTGGAGAAGAGAAAAATCACTTGCCCCTGCCAGGAATCAAACCCTGCTCTCCAGTCCATAGCCCATTGTTTTATTGACAGGTATCCCAGCCAGTGGATACAAAATATGAACCGTCCACTGTGGTATTTATATAAGGTAAAGTTGTTTCTGTGCTCTAACTAATTAAGCAGCATGCCATGAAGAAATATGGGGGAGTGGATGTATAGACCCATTTTTTCTTGATCTCGGTACTACGTTGTGCGTTCAAGTTCTAAGGTCTCTGATTTTTTTTCTCACACAATAATCATACAAAAAATTTGAAACTTCTGTCACTTTTCAGCGTAATCTCCCTGCAGCCGTACACATTTTTCACAACGTCGATGCCATGATTCCATGGCTGCTGCGAACGCTTCTGTAGGAGTCTGTTTTGACCACTGGAAAATTGCTGATGCAATAGCGGATTGAAAAACGGCATCAATGTCTCATCCATTGTCACAGTTGATGAAAAGAAAGTCCCATTCATGCCTTCATCACGTGTCAACATCGCCTGGCAAATTGCCATGCGTGCAGCCTTGTGATCATCTGCCAGAATTCGTGGCACCCACCTGGAGGACACTTTCTGCATTCGCAGGTCTTTATGCAGGATTTTGTGCACAGATCCCACGGAAATGCCAACTTTGGAGGCGATGTTTTCCACACTCAATCGGCGATCCTCCAAAACAACTTTCTCAACTCGCTCGACCATGTTGTCAGACCGGCTGGTGCGAGGCCGAGATTGTTTTAGTTCGTTGTCACATGACGTTCGGCCTTCTTTGAACTGTCGTGCCCACGAACGCACATTTTTCACATTCATGACACCATCACCACACGTCTCACTCAACTGGGGATGAATTTCAATGGGTGTTGCACCACGCAAGTGGAGGAAATGAATGATTACTCGCTGTTCTTGTAACGAAAACGTCGCCATTTTAAGTATCAAAAACACTCCTCACCCTCTCTGCCACCACTAGAGTTCTGTGTGCCATACAGTGCTGCCATCTCTGTCACACATACACAAAGAGTGCACACGTATTTTAAACTAAACCGCATGTGTCTCTGCTCCCAGTCCTGAGAAAAAAAAAATTGGAGACCTTAGAACTTGAACGCCCCTCATAGTTTGAGGTAAGTTGTCAACTTTATGCCCCTGCCACTTTACCTCCGGGGAAATAGCCTCCTGGTACCTATTGGATAGGAGGCTGTGTGGGCCCCAGACCTGGTCTAGACGACTTGGAGAAGTGAAAATTCTTGCCTTCACTGGGACTTGAATTTCAACCCCTTGATTTTTGAGCCCATAGCCAGTCGCTATACCAACTGTGCTATCCCAGCTCATCCGAAACTTCCACACAGATGTTTATCCTGCAGTGTTTGATGAAACATTGACAGTCCTTTAACGCTGTATGTGACATATTCCTGAAAGCTGAAGACATGCATTCTTATGGCTAATTCTTATTTGTATTTTTCTTTTAGGTTTAAATCATGAACAGAACATGAAGAAGATGAGGTTGTTAACTTTTATGCAGTTGGCTGAGGGCAATTCAGAGATGTCTTTTGATACAATACAGCAAGAATTGCTGCTTGAAGAAAGTGAAGTGGAAGCTTTCATAATAGATGGTAATAATTTTTGTCTGTATATGAGTCATAGGCATTAAGATTGCTGAACGCTTGCATTATCCTTTACTGTGGCGATGTGCTGAAAGATAGAAGCTTCACTGTCTCTGTGTCTGTGTCTGTCTAGCCTGACAGGTTTTCATGGTTTTCCTCAGTCTCTCCAGAGAAGTGCTGGGATATGACTATAATTAGACCATGAGTGCTTCCCTCCACAGCCTTTAAATTCATTACATTGTTCTCCAGTCATTTGATGCTATAAAATCTGAGTTACTAACAGCATCATTAAATACAGTGCTCTGAGGCCTTTAGTCCACGAGTGAACTATACCAACCTAGTGACTGCCGCTTATTGGTGAATTTAGTGCCAACTTTTGCTGATAGAGGGTGTTGCATAGTCAGAGCAATGGATTCCCGTGGCCTTTTATCTCGGATTTCTAGACCAGACATTAAATACAATACTATATAAAAAGATAATCACATCACATATCTGCGTGTCATCAGTTTACACGATCATGATCATCATGTGATTTTATTCACATAGACCGGACATTAAATACAATACTATATAAAAAGATAATCACATCACATATCTGCGTGTCATCAGTTTACACGATCATGATCATCATGTGATTTTATTCACATAGACCGGACATTAAATACAATACTATATAAAAAGATAATCACATCACATATCTGTGTGTCATCAGTTTACACAATCACAATGATCATGTGATTTTATTCACGTAAATGAGCCAACCATTTACATAGCAAAGTAACTGCTTACAATAAATACAGGGCAGATCTTTGGTGAAAAATTATGTGTAAGCCCTCATCAGTAAATGATTCGACACATTGCATGGAACTAAACTGAATGTGTTTTCTTGAAATATTGTTTGTGCGTTATGTTTGATGTGGACCCAAACCCACTGCAACACAGTTTAATTGGCACAGACATGGTCTTTCATTCATCAGTAATCTGTCAGACGACAGGTCCACAGCCTCTTCCAAAACAGTTTCTCCACTTAATGCGGTCTTCTGTTTTTGGAAAGAGACTATCCAGGAAAAGTGATAATGTGGTAGTTTTTCCATTTGCTTTCCACATCGCAGTACAACAGCCGTTCAAACCACTCTGGTCACGCCTGTTGCTATATGAACTTGAACCATCTCGAGCATCATTTGCTCTGTGCTTCAAGTCGCTGCTGATGACGCTGCTTCCGGCATCAGTTTTCGGTGTCTCTCTTCGTCTGATGCCTACCCTTTGACCTGTCCAGCAAGGGAGGCCCTGCCAGTAGCTACGCTACCGCTGGTATAGCTCTCAGGGTCTTTGGCATACTCAAACCCCCTCATCACGATAAGGTGGAGACACCAACGAGGGGGGTCTTTGTGGGAAAGCATTTATTTTCTTATTTTGTCTATGCAGTTCTGAAGACCAAACTTGTGAGGGCTCGCATGGATCAAGCTGCCCGCAAGGTGTACGTATCGAGCACAATGCATCGCACATTTGGAAGAGCCCAGTGGCAGCAACTGCGCGATCTACTCCACTCATGGAAAACCAATCTACAGATAACTCAAGAAGGCATGAAGAGTGTTGCAGCAGCCCAGATGGATCTTCTTGCACAGCAGTGAATAGCCCATATGGGTAGTGTGTGATGTTCAGGAGTGGACTTATTGACACGAGCATGAATATGTCAATCTTTATTGACCACTCTTGTGTCTGGCGTGTAAATATCTGTAGCCAGATTAACTTCTGAAAACATGCATAGAATTTGGTCTGCATTTGCCATTTTGTAAAAAGACTATTGAAATAAAAGAGATTTCAAAGTAGAAACTTTATGGAGTGTTTTGTGCATTATTTTAAAATAATTTTGTTAATTTAATGGGGATAAAGAAATGGGAAAAGTCAGTGATAAATATTGGTGTAGCAGATGCATGAATTTTGGCCTGTGAATGGAAAGACATGGGCCAGTTACTCACCACTCAAAATGGTAGTGGTCCATCTACACTTTATATAAAGCTGCTCAGTATATTTTACAAAGTTTTTCTAAAGGAAATTCAGTCTTGTTTCCATATGTATACACTAGATATAAATTAATTTTCTCCCATTTCTTTCGTGGAGCTGATAAGTTTGATCAGTAGTGTAACTCCTTGTGAGAATTCAGCAGGAAGTCTCCTTGTTTTTTATATAATCTTTAGTATTATTAACTTTTCCTGTCTTCTCCCATATTCATTTTTAGTCATATATGTTATTGAATAATGTGTTGAGGACAATGTTCGGTGCCATTTGCCATGAAATAATACCTACAGTCAGTCAATCCTATACTGTCTCCGTTATGTAATATATTACACTTCACATGTCCAAATCAGAATATCATCACTACTCCGAATAGGGGGGCAAACGGTAGCGTAGTTGGTTGAGCCACTATGCTACAAGCTGGAAGGTCACGGGTTGAATTCTTGATGAGAGCATTGTTTTTTTTTTTTTTCAATTGACTTAATCCTTCCAGCCATAAGATGGCCCTGGGGTAGACAGCCTGTAACAGAACTGAGTACCAGGAAGATTTGTAGGGAGTAAAGTATGGCTAGCGCGTAAGGCTAACAACCTTACTGCCATCTGTGAGCCAATTGTGGTGCTTAATTAAGCACAGTGACAGCTTTACATTTAACTTGAATTCTAAATAAAAGAAGTTTGTATAACATGAACTTTGTCACAAAACAGGTCACTACTTTACTTTCATTTTTGGACATGGACCTCTTTTCAAAATAGTTTGTAGTCATCGCCAGGGGTAGATATGGCGTTTCAGAACTACACACACTCCACATCAAAACTGGGTAGTCACTCCAGGTCAGCAGAAAAGGAAATAATTATAATATAAGCTCATGAACTTGTTCCTATATGTACTATTTTTGGAAAGAATGGTGATATCTTAAGGCAATGGAAACGTCTTCAAAATTAAGTGTTTGGAGTTATGTAGTTGGCATAGCGGCCTCTGTAGTCTAGGGGTAACGTTCTCACTTCATGACTCAAGGTACACGGGGTCAAACCCGGCGGAGGTCGTGGAACTTTTAAGGGTGGAAAAATTCAGGGAACAAGTCCTCCGGGAGGAACTTTAAGCCATGTGTCCCATGTTGTAGATTTACGGCACATAAAAGAACCTCATGTCTCTAGGAGACCTCTGAGCTAAATTAGGCAACAATTTCCTGCCCAAGTAGTTTCCAATGCCTCTGGTAGATGGGGGAAGTATCAAGGTACCGAGGGCCGACCTTGTTGGCTCAACGGGGCTGATAGTATGCACCAGTACCAGTAGGGTATGGAGACCGGTAGAATATCAAAGGGGGACGTACAATAGATCAACAACTGGTCGCGGTGCATAGGGAAACCCACCCCCTCCAATAATAATAATAATAATGATAATAATAATATCAAGTTGGCATCCAATGCCATTTCCAGCTCTGATCATCACTCAGGTTTATCAGTATCAAGACAGAACACAGCAAGTTGAAATACAGTTGAGTCAGCAAATCTTTATTGAAGTCTCTCATACAACAATATATTTCTTTTGTGAGCAGACACATTATTCTAGAACAATAAAAAATGACTCAGCCTTTTAAGTATTCCCCCCCTTATTTTTTACATTTTGTAATCTGACTGATAGGTCAAATTTTTCAATCATATTCACCAGATTACATAAAGTAATTCTTAATCTTTATAAAAACCAACAGAATTCTTTCACGTAACATTCTACAACAAACTGTACCTATTCCAAAGGAATACAATACAAGACAGAAAGGATGAGATTAAACACAGATGGCTGTATTGTAGTTCACAACCCATAACACATTTCCTTTTCATGGGAAATTATTATTCGTTTCACTTTTGTTTTTCCCTCATTACTCTGAATAGATATTTTCACAATCTACAGCACAAGAGAGCAAACATTTTCTAACATAACACAATGAACATAAATTGAACACACCGGCTAGAAACATGGTACAACATGGACAGAAAACCCTGAACAAATATTAGAAAGCACTTCTGAAACCTGTTCTGTATTGTGAAGTAGTTTTGGGAAAGATTTCTATACAATGTTTTGCATTATGATAAATTAGGCATTTTGTTTCCTTCAAACACTGTATGTGCTCAGTGTTCAGCATTTTCTGTTCACTTCCATCATGTTACTGAATCTTTCTCTCCTTGTAAATTTCTCTTCCTCCCTGAAAATATCCTTTGAAGTCAGATCTGGGTGCTGAAACGAGGACGAGGAAGATCACCGAACACATCTGCATCACCATGAACACTTTTAGCAAGGGCCTTGATGGATGCTGCAATGTCCGCTGGGTCTTGGGGAAGCTGGATAACAGCAAGAACATGCTAATGGTCAGTTTTACATAGGATGAAGTAAATGTTTAATGCTTTTGCTTGATCTGAACATTCACACACATTAGATGGTGGAACTATAACATAGAGATACAGGGAGTGGAAATGAAAAAGCAAGAGGAAACCTTCAACTTTAACATTAACTGGTGCTCCCATTGTACTATATTTGGTATCAGTAATATACAGTGAAATCCTGATTCAATGTTCCCACATGAACTGAAATTCCATATTTATACATTCTGATTTAGTAAATAACCCACACTTAGAGTAAGAAATTTTTGATCCACCAAAACTCATACCTTGATTTAGCACTGTTATGATTGACACAAAGCATACTCATGTTTCCTTTCTATTGGAAATCAGCTACTGTGTTTATTCTGTCTCATAAATTAATCTGACAATGTTATATAATTGTATTTATTTGTGTAGAAACAGTTTCAGTACTTATGCAAAGAAATTATTTTATCACAATTCTTACAAGGTAATGAACAGTCTTTATTAGGAGGCAGACATTTATAAAATTTCCTACACTTACCACATATGCTCAGCACTGGGTCATAACCTAAGTAGCAACTACAAAACTACTGCTTTACTCTATATGAGGAAAATACATTGAAACGACTTTCGGCACATATCTGAATATGGCCAAATATATTCATGATCTGAACATGTGAATGAAGTGTGATAGTGTAGCAGTAACCACACAGACACTGAGAATTTTGTGAAAGATGCATTAATAAGACCGAAATAAGTAAGTGCAAGACTAGAAAATTGCTCACCCTTTCATCTTCTCTCTCATCACCATCCCGTTTATTTGGAGGGAGAAAAGCAGGTACATTTACTGGCAATGATTTTGCCAGGTTACTGTATATCCCTCTTGCTTTCGGGATATGAATCCCCTCATCGTGACTACCAGAACCTGGGAAGGAATGAACAGAAACATGCCATTAATGTGCAAAAGCCCAGAAATCTGTCCTCCAAACCCATCAACTTAAGTGTGACAGTTACCATGCAAGAAATGACCCAAGCCTTACTCCTCACCCACTTCTTACCTTGGCATGTACACACTGACAAGTTCTTATTAGCATCATTAATAAACACTGATCATCATACTGACATCCATTAACTTCCACATATCTAGGGACTTGATGCTTGACAGAAAATAACAGATCGAACAATCGTTAATAAATTATAACAGAAATAGAATTTAAGCAAGGAATTTGGAAAACAAATGAGATACATGATGCTGCTGGAATTTCACAACCCAGAAGACAGCACTCTCGAAGAAAAGCTGGCTCATAACATGGAAACCTACCATCCGTGTCACTCTCTTCCTCCGAGTGTAGCGACTCTGCAGGAACTTCATCCATTCCTTCCAGAACAAACAGACCCTCAGTATCAAGAGAGTTGGTGTTATTGCTATGTGACGGCAGGAGCTGTCCATACGGATGCACTGGAAGCCGTCTTTCAGTCTTATTTCCTCCCACATTCTGAAACAGGTGTGACTAACGATTAGTATGGTCGTTCTGCTGCTGTTATTTCAATTCATTACCGATCAAATGGATAACAAAATGCCATGTCACTAATTTCGGTTGGATGGTTATCTTATGATGCCTTACCAACTACTAACATTATACACCATCAAAAATATGGTAAGGAGACTGAATAACAAATATGACGAAATGAGGTGTAATATAAGAAAGTATTCTGAAATCTGCTTGGAAGGACTTGGGAAAATTGAACAATCAGCCATCTGGAAAGATATGAAACAAGTACCTCCTGAACGCAAGTCAGATATGCTACCACTAATCCTCCACCAATCAGCAATATTACATTCATATTCGGTTAACATATATAAGCCTCAAATTTAATATGCTGGTACTTTATGAACAACGTCTTTATGGCATAATCTCAGGCCTTGTAGTGAAACAACTGCCAGCTAGTGCGCAGGAAATCTTACAAAAGACAACAGTCTACTTCATGTTCCAAATCAGGGTCCAATAATCACAATAATCAAATATGAGAGCATGTTTAGGCTGGAGGCGGTTTTGTCAGTCACCTTCTATGACCAAGTTTCACCTCTTAACATTGGACGCTGGTCAGGACTGCATATAATGAATGTGCATGAGTCAGATATGGCTTTGTAATTGTGTACTGGGAAAAGAAATGCATGTCACTGGTGACAGTGACATATTCTTTGAGAAAACAGCCAAAAGTATGGAATTTTACTAAGATATATATATAAATAAACTTTAATGTAATGGCTATATTAATGAAAATATGAACTCTGAAAATTGGTCTTTCAAAACCTTTGTGTTTCATAATTTGATAAGGACACATGGCTGAGATACTGAATGTTAAAAATGAATTATAAAATTGAACACCACAGTAATAAATTCAAATGTCCAGGGAATTTTAATGTGCCACTGTGGGAGAGATAAGAACAAGGAAAATATTCCACTTAACTGGTTAAGAATACTTACAGCGGAAAGGGGGCTTGGGCGATTTGCTTGTCGTGAATCAGTCAATGATGAAGGCTGTTTTCCTGTAGGAGCCTGCTGTCTTAGGTTTGTGGCATTTTTCAGGCTCAAGTCAGTTACAGGGAACACACTGGGAGGGAGATGAGATAGTGGTGCAGACTGTGATGACCACTGTGTTGGTGTGCCAGGTGATGCAAGACTGTTCCTGTTGTCTGCCAGAGATGGTGGAATGCCCAGAGCTTCAAGTGATGCTGGTGACAAGCTCTCTTGTGTTTCACATAGTAACCTTGTGCACAAAAACATTATTGTGCCATTCTAAATACATATCAAACAAACACAAGCTATTATAATAGATGATTGTGACAGAAACAAACTGTGTGTGAATGCCTAACATTCTGTACATGTTCACCATCCCCTGTAGTGGCAATCAGGGTGTAAATTACTGAAACCTTACATCTAAGTCTGTAAATGCAGTGGACCAACAGTTTGTTCATTCCTCTTGGTTACAATAATTAATTAAGCGGCCGGCCTTCACGGCCTGTTAAAGGGATAGCTTTACTTTTTTTACTTACTTTTAGAACGTTTTGGTTCCCTTCTTCCTATTCATGAAATATATGTATAAGAGCGAAAGTAAGTTGGGTGCTGAGGTTATTATGGAATGTAAATATAGTCTGAATTGGGTAAACAGAATAGAATACAGCACTGTGGTGGGAAAATCCTTTGAAAGAACTGAAAGGCATTTCAGTGTGAAGATTTTGCACACGACAATCTGTGTTCATACTTCATTTAAAAAATTAATGGAACAATTTGCAGTGTGTTGTACCACCATCTTGCATACAATAATCATTAGCCTTTTCTTCTTCTGTAATGCTCTCAGAAGTCGGGGCAGAACAATATCACTGACATACCACTCAGAATTAACAACCTCTTAAAAAAATATGGATCCTACTATTCAGGTAGCAGTAATGGCACACCACTTCTCAACCTCCTGATCATGAAGAGGTACTTCAAAATTTTGTGTCTGTATCTGCTCCAGTACCTATCATTCTGAACACTGATGTACACATTCAGATAGAACCAAGCTTCAACTGTATAATATAATTCTAGGTCAAGCAGATCATCATATACTGCCCACAAAAAACAGTTATAAAATAATGTGTTTTTTTCTCACAATTCCCATCTTCAATTGCTTAAATCCAATTTCATATGGCAGTAAACATATTTTTGTCACTCTCCATTCTGCTGTAGTGGAAACCTGTGCCTGCTGAACTAACTTTCAGAGATTGGTGAAGTGAATTTTCTATTCTGGCTCCAATTATGTCAAGCTATTCCTTGGTTAGCATAATGTTCTGTCCAGTGCATTTCTTGTCTAGGAAAGACCTAGATAAATGCACTTTATTCATTATAAAAGGATATCAACTCCATCCAGTGACTAATAATTTTATTTCTCCTTTTTAATCTTTCATCCTAGACATGTTTCAGTGGGAGCGACCATCTTCAGAAGGACATATCAATACAAGCGGAAACTACTATTGCAATGTGTTTGCTCAATATCAATACATACATACAATATCATTACAATGCCATGAATATAAAGTCTGAGCCTTTAACAACTACAGCGATGTGCATGATTATATTAAAATATTTATAAATTATTATTACTAGTTTACAAGTGTGGTTCATAAAAACTTTGTTAGAATTCAGAACCAACTTGGTTCACGTCCTTTATACTGCCTCTCTTTAAAGGAAGATGAGTGTCTGCCATGTCATGGATCCGTTGTTTGATGAACAGGACTCTTTAGTGTTGTCCTACTGTTTGGGCCGTGGTGTTGTTAAAAAAAACAGTTATCAGTCACACTGGACGGAGCTGACAACCTTTTACAATATTGCTAGTGTGACAAACCAGGATGAACGAAATCACTTTCTTCACCAATGAAGTTTGAAGTCAAATGCCAGGATACTTGTGGCAAAACCTTCATCTACACGATTTATGATTTTCAGGTAAGTGCTGTCCAGAAAACCCCACTACTGAAGTGTATATTTCATAATTTCAATTCTGTATTGTAAATGAGTATATGATACAATGTCTCAGTGTCTTAGGTGAACATACACGACTATTACAGTAAGTCACCTGAAGATGCAGCCACAGAAGACAAATGAAAACCTTGTAGCACTGCACCTGACAAAGAATTTACCTGTCCTTTTATTGCTGGAAACACCTTCACTTCCTCTTTACTTGTTTTTCTCACCCTCAGTGTAGCCTTATACAGCTATTTGGGGGGAGGGGGGGCAGCACAATTGTTATGTTGAAAGTCCAGAGCTGTCTCCGATGTTTCTAAACTAGGGAGACATAAGCACAACTGCATATCAAAGTAGCAGCATTTCATGTTTGTAGTTTCCTGACACTGTTTCTCGGTTTCCCTTTTATCATCATCATAATTCACATCCTGCTCTTTTATGAGCTTCAATTCGTCTGTTTCACTTTCTGCTACCAGAATTGTGACAAGTGTACGCTCTTGGCAGCTTATAAGATAGTTTCATTTTATGAACTGGAAGCAATGCAACCTTCAGACTCACTGCTTTTCCTGTTCTGCATACCACAAATACATTTTACTTTCTCGTTTATATAGAGGCAGGAATTATTGCAACAGTGACAAGAATTTATCTAGGAATGTTGATGGATTTACAAGTTTCCAGCCTCCCTAATTATGAAAAGGTTGTAAGATGTGAGGTTTTCATGGCGGTCACTATGAAGAATGCTGCCTTCTGGGTTGTAGCGCTGTGTAGATCTTGTGTGAACAGCAGACTGCAGCCACTTGCTCATGCTGGTTCCTCACTTTACCCTAAAGATGGTGATACGTTCATCTGAAATGGTGGTTCACACAAGATCTACATGGCGCCACAACCCAGAAGACAGCATTCGTCATAGTCACCGCCATGAAAACCTCAAATCTTACAAATCAAAACCTGATTCATGAGGAAATTAAGAGGAGACTGAATTCAGGTAATGCTTGCTACCATTCAGTCCAGAATCTTTTGTCTTGTCTTGCATTTGGGGAATGCATCTCCCAAATACATGTCTGGGGCATTACCATTACACCAATTGGCTTGGCTTGTTGTGTTAATGTCACCAGTCTGATACTATGTTCAGCTTGGCATTTGTGAAGGTAAATGACTGACAGCATCATGGCAGCTTCCTGAGGGAACCTACATCTTAACATAAGCTGCAGGTTCTATCTTAGTCAGAATAATACTGTGGCAAATCCATTGAGAAGTTGCCAGCATGCAAACATTTAAAGAAACATAACATTGTTGTCACAAATATGGAGACTTTGCAGCAAATTTTCTTTTTCTGAAAGAGAAACACAAATGGCTAAATGTGTACTTGCAAAAAATCTACGTCGATTAGTAGAGTTACTGATGATCCCTTACTTTAGGGAAGAACAGTACACTTACTGTATATCCCAGTATATTATGAACTTGTTCTTCTAAACCTCACGGTGTAGAAGATGGACTGAAATTTTTTAGGAAAAAAGTGTCACATAGATTGGGAATTGGAAACTGCACTGAACTTATCATTTACTAGACACTGCAGTTATCTGTTCCCAGTTCTTCACATGCCTAAAGGGGGCTACACACCTTCAGTTTATCTGTGCAGTTATCTGTCAAAAATAACTGTGTGAAAATCTGTACATTTATCTGAACTGAAGGTGTGTAGGATACCTTCAGTTTTTGCCTCAGTTCAGTCCGATGTTTCTTCAGTTCTCTCTTCACTTTCGACAGGTTTGGTTGTGTTCTAAAATAAATAAAGTTCAATGGGTGACAGAAAAAGAAGAGCTGCAGTTTGTTGCATAATTGCTGCAGTGTTGCTAGAAGAAGAAGGCAAAAGGAAAAAACGCCGTGAACATTGGTGCAAAGATTGGTATCTGCAAAGAAGCCTTTTGCCCAGTGATTACCATTTACTGACTGAGTTACAAGAAGGAGGGGAAATTAACGATTATAAAAATTACCTAAGGATGGACGAAAATGCATTTCAAATTTTATTGAGCAAAGTTGTTCGCCTCATTGGAAAAAAGGACACAGTCTTGAGGGAAGCAATATCTCCGCATGTGAGACTGATTGCGACTCTTCGGTTCCTGGCAACTGGGAGAAGTTTCCAAGATTTGACATTTTCAATGAGAGTATCTCCTCAGGCACTCGGAGAGATAATAATAGAAACATGCGTGGCAATACGGAAAGCACTGCAAAATTTTATTCAGGTTAGCATACTTTAATTATTTGATAAGACCATAGGTGTGACTGAATAAATATTCATAAAATAGCAGCCATAGTTTATTACCATACTAACTAAATAAAAATGTACATGTATGTAGAAATACAAAATAAAATTTACACATTGAGTAGGTATGTACGTATGAATATAATGTTATTGTAAATTATTGTATTCGTTGTCATGGTACGAGAATCCCTCCAACAGCGTCCTTGCCGTTTGGGGTTCAGAATGTTGAGAGTACGAATTCGAACTCCAACTGGGAGATGGTGATGAAGTGGATAAAGGCCCTGATGGGTGAACCGGATAGCTGCCTCTGGTTAAAAGGCCCATTTGACCATCAAGCAATGTTTCATTGATTACTTTATCAGCAAACATTAGCTGTTGCTGAGTTAATTTCCTTAATTTCACTGCCAATTTGCCAATATCAAAAACTCGTCTTCAGCTTCCAAATACCGTGTGGCCTTTGTAAGGAGATCATGTGATGAAGGGGCTGACTTTCTCTTTCTGCTAGGTTGTGCAAACGAATTGACTGTGGGTGTAGGTCCTGAAGAAGCTGATGGAGAGGATGGGGCAACCTATAACAAAAACATAAATATTTGTTACCTAAATCATTATTAAATTAAATAATTAAATAGTTATTTTAATTTCTGATTTTAGCTTCCTAAAAGTGAAGAAGAGTGGAAACAAGTCGCTCATGATTTCGAAGAAAAATGGCAATTTCCGCACTGCCTTGGTGCAGTTGACGGAAAACACATTCAGATAAAAAACCTGCGAATTCCGGCTCTCGTTCCTTCAACTAGAAAGGAACATTCAGCGTTATATTGATGGTAATAGTTGATGCAAACTTAAAAGTTTTGTTGGCTGATGTTGGAACAAATGGAAGAATTTCTGATGGAGGTGTTCTACGACAGTCTCAAAAAAGGTGAACTGAATATTCCACTTCCCGAGCACCTTCCAGGAAGTAACAAAACTGCTCCGTATGTCTTTGTTGGGGACGAGGCATTCGAGTTACAAGATAATTTCATGAAACCTTATTCTTTTTCTGTGCTTAATCATGAAAGGCGTATTTTTAACTATCGCCTTTCTAGAGGAAGAAGAATTGTTGAAAATTTTTTTGGAATTTTAGTTTCCAGATTTACAGTATTTCAAAAACCCATCAATCTATCGCCAACTGAGGTCAATGCCATAGTTCTAGCGTGTTGCACAATTTCTTAAGAAGACATTCCAGTACTTACATCAACAATCAACCGCCTGTTTGTTATCAAAATTCGCTCGACATGGAGTCTCGAACATCCTCAAATAGTGGAAGTCTAATTGGTATGAGAAACGGCAGCAGTTCATGTTCCTCTAGATCAGCCAAAGAAATTCGCGACACTTTCTGTAGTTACTTTAACGATGAAGGAAAAGTCGAGTGGCAAGAAAATAGCGTTTGAATATTGAATATAAATATTCACGAATTTGGTTTGATATATACAAAAATAATACTGTTATTATAATATAATAATATGTAATAATAATAACAACAACAATAATAATAATAATAATAATAAAAATAATTATTACAAGTTTACTTACTGATTTTTCATTGATGTCATTGCCCAGTTCATTGGTTGAATTACTGGCATCAGGAGTTTCCTGGTCCACCAGAAACATCAGTTCCCCGAAATACCACAGACTCGGAACATACACATCATTAGCTGAAGCTCCCAATTTCTTTGATTCGTTTACTTTCTTCAACTCCTTATGAAAAACGGATCTTAGGTTATTTATTTTCTTCACTACACTATCACGTGTTGCATCAGGCTCGAGAGGTTTCAGTTTTTCAATTAAAACATCGTAGGCTGCCGCTTTCTTAACACGGTTGGAATAAGATACGCATGCAGTATCCCAAAGCTCGGGAAGGGACCGGTAGCCGTCGATAAATGCTAAAAGCGAATCCTTTTTTGAGACCGTAGTCATCGTATAGGTACAGAAACAGGACGGAAACTGAACGAACTGTACGATAAACTGCATAAACTGTGCAGGTTATCATTGCAAATGACGGTCCGAATGTGCAGACTTTTTATCTACGTGAAAACCGGTGTAAACTGCACAGTTGACACAGTTTATCGCTCAGACATGACGTCACACATGATAAACTGCACAGATAAACTGAAGGTGTGTAGCCCCTATAAGACTCTAATCCTGAAACAGTTCTAGTACAGTGAAGTCATACCATACATGCAACTAACTTATGTGGATTCAACTACAGGTTCTTGCTAGAAGTGTATGAGAGTTCAGGTTTACTGTTGTCCTTTTTTATTTTTTAACTCTTGTCTTCTTTCTACTTCTTATGCAATTAAAAATATAATTATTGCACATTTTACTTGTATGTGTACTCTTTCATTGTATACTATATTAATTATATTGTGACACATATGCCCATTGCTAGGCATTGGCTTGGTAAACACATTCCCAAAGTATATGCTCTCAACACTAGATAGATATCCACTGCTAGGTAACGAACCAATACACACGCAATCTTCACAACAGAAGATGGTGTTTTCTGTGCGGTGTGTCCTGAGGAGTTATAAGAGGGCACAGTCAGATCAGAATTGACGAAGTACACTGGTGTACAACGGAGTTCAGTTGGATGTCTGAACAGTTCCTTTTGTTAGAAGATGACAGTGTGTCTGATAGTGATTTCTGAACTGTTGTAACCAGTTGTGTAAAGGTCCATCAAATCCAAAACACATCTTATGTGTATTTTATGGGAGAATTAAGGGATTTTCAAGTGTAATTATGATTACACATGATTCTGAGTTTATGCATCATATTTAGTATGTAACCCCCTGAATAACATGCAACTCAACTGTACACAGAACACATCAAATACTACCTAGCCAGTATGCGGTGGTCCCTGTGTGCATGCTCCCTGAACTCTTCCAGGGCAGCATACTGCTGCTCTGAGTAAGCACGCACCCTCTCCTCAGTCCTTGATGTTTCCTGCTGAATTGCTTCTACAAGTTGTTGTTGAAGAGCTGATAATGCTGCCTGAACAGGGCCTGGCAGTTGTGATGCTAAGAAACAACACAAAAATGTAATGCCCTTCATCTTAGGAGCATATTAATCACACATTTAATCACATAATTACAGTATTCCTTTATTAAACGAGAATTATAAAAGTACAATTTATATCTTCTTCATAAGCCATTGCATGACTTAAATACTGGGAAACATGGAAACTCTGAATGTATATGAAGTAAAATTACCTGATAATTTTGTTGGGGCCTGGGTAGATGAAACATCATTCTCTGTGTCACTTAAAAGAATTCGGAACACGACTGAATACCTGTCACTATTTTTAAGTGCCGAAACATCTGCTGGATTTGCCTGCAATGAATGTCATTTGTAAAATCATCAGCCACAAAGTTTCAATGTAAATTAAAATGGTAATCACTATAATGACTTGTCCTATATCATGTAACAATGATCTATAGGGAAGAAATAAGTAAATATGTATGTCTACATTTTCAAAAATTACGAACCAGCAACGACTGACTGACCAACACGCATGCAGCGCCTTTCTCTCGGTGAATAGCATGTGTATTTGTTGAGCAATTCAGGCAACGGTGAATGATCCAGTTTTCCACATTTCGTACTTGAACAAGGCTTGACTGTTCTTTCGATATTCTCCCCAGATCCACAGTGAAAATATCCTACGAAAATATTAAGATGCCATTTATACAATATCTAAGTACTTCCCACACGCGTGCCGCATATCCTACACATTCTCTTACCTCCTGGAAAAAACTGTCGCTCAATTCTGTAGATGATAGACCAAGATTTGAAACGTCAACACTCTGAATGTCAGAGTTCTTGGTATTTATTGATACGTTTAGACATTTGCATGTAATAAGCATTGCTATTAGACCTGTTCAAGCGTGTTCAAGGGAACACTAATAGAAGAATGGAGACAAAGAGTCTGAATGTCACGTAGGCCGTACGAAGGTAATTCAGTTACTTTCACGCTTATCGGTTATTTGTTCACGGTGACATCACTAGTGCATATTGCCGAACGATTTTTCAAACTTCAAAGTTAACAGTTAAATGTTAATCCAAAAGAATAAAATATGCAATACACGTATTTATTTACCACACCTCATTCCAACCTTTCCAAAGTACCTAACTTACAGCTGATTTATTATGACCGAGCCTCAAAACACAACATGTACTCAGTTAAGTATACAAGTACTAAATTAATATCCATAAGCGATTAATAACATGACTTAGATCACTAATTTAACAGAAAGTAGACAAGAGACTCATATATATATATATATAATGATAATTGAAATGTCGGCATTCTTCTGACATACTTAGATTGAATTTTGACTAACGATTCAGAACCATGAACCTCTGCACAATTCGTTTGAAAGTCTTACAAAAGATGTCATCAGTTGCTCCTACCGACTCCTACTGTAATCTAGCGGCTATCTTAGGAACTGAGGGGCAACTATGCAATGATTGGCATGTCCGACATATTTGTGGTATATGTTTTACAGTTCTCTTTCTTCAATATGTAATTTTAATATACCATCTTAATGCTATATATTTTATATCCTAGAAGGAACGGCTGCATGTAGAGAACATTTGTGTCTCATTACTCCAATAATTTTTTATTTTTTTTTTACTGAAGAAAGAAATACTGTAAATATTCGTAATACATATACACTACCATCTATTGGATTTGTCATGAACTGAACTTTTCCATCAGTTTCCCGCCAGGTTATTTTTAACTCGGTGGAAATGGCAAGATCACATCGCAAGAGTTATCGATGAGCTATCGAACGCTTTTCGTTAGAGCGGGGTTAGGAAAGTTTCGGTATTTTACAGTTGATAATTTTTATACGTTTAGGAAGAAAAATACGAGTAAGTTTGGAAGCTGTACATGTCAGAAGAGGGTGACTAGTACGAATAGTGCTATACGATCTGTACGTGTCGGTACTAAGATTAGAATGTCAGGTGGAAGTCGTCTGGATCATGTTTATCGTAGTATGTTGATGACCAAATTTTTTACAAAAGGATGGGGGAAGCCAGAAAATTTAAAGAGGTAAGGAGTTTTAATATCTTGAAATTGAGTGTTGTGTAGTTTCTGGTAAGGTGGATCTGAGATCGCTGATACTTGTTGGCTAGTTTTGTGTGTGGCTCACGTGTTCGTACTACGTGCAGCACGTCTCGTAGTGTAATGGCTAATACGATGTTTCCAGACTCTGTCAGAGAACTTCCCGAAACTTCAGGCAGGGCTTCAAAGGAGTTGCCCTTCATTCCCTGACCGAAAGGCCCATCCATCTTATTATACTCGGGATATATCCGATTGAAGGTATAATTAAATAAATTCCGGTACTGAATGGTTGCAACAGATAAGGAATATATGTAAAAGTGATCTTCATTATCTTCATTTTTAATGGTATCTCATCTTGACTAGACAATAGTTTATCCCATAAATCTTCCACAAATTAAAATTCTTAGCTTTGTCTTTAATTTTTTTCTCTTTTGCCTTAGTTACATGTTACATGATTAAGACTATGTTCTTGATACTCTTAAATATACTCCTAATGTTTTTTTTAATAATGTTCCTAAATACAGACATAGGCCATTCATGTGATCATGAGAACTGCCAGGTGTTCCTCCAAAATGATAAACCAGAAAATTTACCTGCAAACTTGTGGCTGATGCATTGCAGATTATTTTTACTGCCCACCATATAGTATTCACGGTAGAAGAATAATTTAATAAGATTTTCTTTGAACGGCAGCTGTGCTCATGGCTTTTTCTTCCTAACTCAAAATCCATTTCATGTTTCCCATCTGTTCTCAATGATCTGGTTTATAAAGATGTATATTCATTCTTCCATTTTCATAGTTTTCAAGAATCTTATGTTCCAAATTGTGTTTGACACACACAGCTCCCTCCAAGTGATATTTAATCTGATACATCTGAGTTCTGTAACATAATATTCTATAATGTTAAACCTTTCCAGTTCTAAAATTTACTGAAAACTGAGGACTTTTATATACAGAGTCTTCCTCCAAAGATTGAATTGCGTGTTTCTCTTACAAGTATTGTTGGCCTGTTAGCTAGAACCTTAGCCATCATCTGCCAAGAAGAAGGAATCTAGCCAGTCTTGCTGCATGATTATTATTCTTTTTGATGAGAGATTTGGTATTACTTTCCAGTCTCCTCCTTGTGAAGCCTAAATCTCAATAATTTTCCAAAGAGCCCACTTTATGCCACTGAAGTTAAGTCTTTTTTCATTCATTCATTTTATTTGGCATTCATAATTGCTACAACAGTAACACTTGAACAAGTCACATCATTAAATACATCATTCTTGAAATTCTTTTGCCCAAATGCCTAAAGAATTAGAATTTGTCAACAGTAAATAATCACTCTTGATGTGGTTAACCTATAATTAAAATATAACACACACTATCAAACCAGATAAATAATAAAATTATATATAATTGTGTACTGCACATCTTCGAATAGTTGCATTGGGTTATTATTGTTACAGTTTCCATGGTAGCAGCCTGTTAGAATTTTAGCTTATTTCTGTTGAAGCCATAATATCTAAGGACACATTTAATAGATTAAAGTACAATACTTGAATTTTGAAATGTTTAATAATATCTGTATTTTTACATAATTTAAAAATAAAAAAGTAATCATTGTTAAAAGTTGTTTTTCTTGAGTACTGCTAACAACGATATAATGTTGGACACGAACCTTCTGTAGTGTGAAATTAATTATCACTCTTGGAATTACACACTTGTCAAAATCATGTACATAACTTTTATTTCTCCTTTGTTGTTATTTTTTGTGGGGTGTGCTGAATTCTTTGCCTTCTTGCATATTATGTTTATACTCACTTAAAATATGTTTCAGATAACTTAAGAACACACCAGTAGTTTCAGAAACACATTTTTATATGAGATTAACGTGTCACGTGTTGGGTGTGTCATGCGACAAGTAACTTCACTCTGTTTTGGATATAGCGAATTTATTCCACTCGCTCTTACATTTACACAATTTACAGTTCCCAACTACTGCCATCTGCAATATCACACTTCTCCTGCTTCCATTCACTCTGGTGAATGCTAGACTGCAAGTGACTGGTTACTCTCTCTCACTGACAAATACTCCTGTTATGTAGCTTCCGCACTGACAGCACAGAAAACGGTTACGTGATAGCTTTCACTGTTGCATGACGTTGTGTTTACCGATTGCCTAGCAACAGTCGCTGCACGGGCTCCCCTGTTGCGTGACAGCTTGTTTACAAAGGTGTTGCTGGGCAACGCTGTGTAACAACCAGTGCTTCGGCTCGGCTTGGCACAGACAAACACCGCTTTCCTTACTGATGCATAACCTCGTTTCCGTGGTTGCGTAACTTGTCAACCGACCGTATATCAGGGTCTGTCTTCGTGGTAACTTGTTCCACCTCCCGTTGCCCAGCAATGGTTTGACATGTCACACTGCTGTGATTTGTAAATGCTCATCATTTTTCTTCCTTGGCTATTCATCACTTTATAATCCATAATTTACTTACACCTCTGCCCTTGCCATGCATTCTGGTCATGCTGGGTAGAAACAAGAACAGTGGAACTGACATTCCTAGTTATAAATGGGCCAGTAATATTGATATGAAACTCAACACGTGACATTAATTTAGTCACAGCCCTCAGGACTGAGCCCTGCTTCCTCCATATGTATGTTCTCACAAAAAGTTAATTGCACATATAGTTTATAGCTTATTTGTCATAAAACCTACTGTAGCAGTAATGGCACACTGCACATCAATTTACTGATTGTGAAGAGGTACTTCAGAAGTCTGCTTCAGCTAAATTCTGATCCAATACCTATTGTTCTGAGCACTGTTATACCCATTCAGATGGAACCAAGGTTCATTTGTAAGTTCGTGGTTAAGGAGACTGTCGTGTACTGTCTGCAAAAACCAGTTACTCAGTGTTCTTTTCTAGTGATCACTATCTTCATTTGCTTGAGCCTGTTTAATTTTTTACAGTAGCAGACATACATTTTTACTTTTTTTATTGCTAGTGGGGTGGGACTAAGTCCCTTGTACTGAAGTCTTTTCTGGCCTATTGTACCAGCCCCAGATGGTAGGTGAGGGTGACTGTGGAGCAGTTGGTGGAATGAAGATTGGCAGGGGAAACTGAAGTACTCAGAGAAAACCTGCCCTAGCGCCACTTTGTGCACCACAAATCCCACTTGACCAGACCCAGGATCGAACCCGGGCCACCGTGGTGGGAAGCCAGTGAATAACTGCTTGAACTATGGCGCGGCCTTACATTTTTACTTACTCTCCATGCTGTTGTGATCTGAACCGCTGCCTGTTGAGCTAATCATGTCTGGGATTTGCAGGGCGAATGCGCTGATCTAGCTCTAGTTTCATGAACCATTTCTGCGGCACAGCATTCTTGTCTAAGCAAGATCCAGATCACTGCACTTTATTTTTATTCTTAATATGACATAATAGTTTCTTCATTTCGAGTTTATATTTCCAAAAATAAATAGAATCCAGCTGGTCATCCTGTGCCCATATATATGCAACATGTTTGATCTCCTGCCCTTGCATTTAAAGGTCACTTGTGCACAGATTATGTCAGAGAGGAAATAGTATTTTCCCAATGGTATTCATTACCTGTTAATTAACCCAATTTTTTTCTTGTGTGTGTATATATATATATCATCATCTCTCATCGAGTGCTGTAATTCGTGCGCTTACTTACTTATGGAGCTGAGCCCTTCTTGAGGAGAAGCCAAATCTGCAGCTACCCAAGAACTTCCCACCATTTTATTGAATTTGAAGTTTCATTACCGTGTTCACAAGAGCCCTCCGCTGGTCCCTGTCTTGAGACAGATCAATTCAATTTATACCATCCCATCCTATCTCTCTAAGATCCATTTTAATATCATTCACCCACCTACACCTTGGTCCAGAGGATCTGTTCAGGTCTGGGGCTTTGTGTGCATTTTTGTAAGAAAGCTATTTTCTACGGCGAGGAGTTGTTAGCCTCACGCCCAACCCCCAACCTGGAGGACCACCCCTTGTCAGCGGTCTACGACTGCTTATTCAATATATTCGCAGCTTCCCTCCGTACCTGGAGGGAATTTCCTCCATCTGCAACCTGAGGATGCCCCATGCTGTGGTGACAAGGGACCCACCCAATTCGTGCACATGACAGAATAATTAAATTAATGAAGATGGCTATCTTGAGATTTTGTGAAAAATGATCTGTATAGTCTTGAAGGCCTACAATGAGCTGAAAGTATGGTAACTATCAGGACAGATAGTGTGGGGTAGATCATACAGAGGCTGTAACACTTGCTGCATTTCTTTACTTTTTCAGGTTATTTTTATTCAAAGAGAAGATGACAAATCGAGAAGCATGTTACAGTTTGGTTCCAAGTGATTACCCAGTTACCATTTCGAAGGTGAGTTTTTGTTAAAAGAAGGAAAATGGAGTTGGAACGTATGCTTATTTATTTAATATTGCCATCAGTAATTTTTTCCACATTTTGATAAGTTCATGTGGTTATCATAGACATCCAGATCTTTTATACATGTAACACCATCCAGCCACTTAACCCACACAAAAATGTGGCATATTGATTCCTTTCCATGCATAAAGTTTATGAATTCCAGTGACCTTTTCTCCCAGTTTCACTAAAAATTTTGTTTAGTTCATATATTCCAGCAATTTAGCGCATAGTTTTTGCCAAACAAACAAAACCCTGTGCCAGTGAACACTTAGTGTACCTGTGAAATAATGGAATTCCAGTGACTCTGGCACAAAAGTTCTGAGTTGTTAGTCATATGGTCTGACAGACCAACTCACCATTGTTACCAGGTGTTGTACATAAGCCCAGCTTCATTAGTTAATCATAGGACCTTGTATTGTGTGGTCTCTTGAAGCATTTACACCCAGAATTCAGGGTTTAGCAGTTCGTATAGTTTACCACAGATTGCTATCACAATACATCATCAACAGAGAACAGTTTGTTATGGTTATATTGGTATCACAATAGAGTATTGATGGAGAAGATTTTGTTACAGTTAGATTGCTGTCACATTACAGTATGAATAGAGAACAGCTTGCTGCTGTTAGATTGCTGTAATATTGCAGTAACATTAGAGAGCACTTTGTTGCAGTTATATTGCCTTCACATTACAGTATCAACGGAAAGAAATTGGTTACAGTTACATTGTTGTCACATTACGATATTGACAGGTTGCTACTGTTAGCCTGCTCACAAAATAGTGTTAGTAGGGAAGAATTTCTTACAGGTAGGTTGCTGTTACAAACAGTATTGTTAGAGAACTGTTTGTTTGAGATACTGAAAATGTGTTCATAATATTCTGTGAACCCAGGACAAAGATCTCTTAGTTGTATCAGTAGTCTGAACTTGAATGTTGCATTCGAGAGGCAACAGGTGCAGAAAAATGTGGAGGCAGAGCTGTTTGATACAGTCAGTTGTTTGAATGAATGAATGTATGAGGGGTGGGCCATAATAAACTGGCCCTTGCACCTTGACCTTCAGTGATTTATTGTGCTTTTTTGATTAACCCTTTATTAATCCTGCACTTCAAGTGAAATGTAGGCCACTGTCATTGTTAGGTCTATCAAAATTGATCATTATTTGGTCAGTTACGACATAACGCCATCTTGTTCACAAGCATGGGTGCCACCAGGGTTATTTTCTTTTTCTTTTCTGGGGAAAGGGGTCAGAAAATATGTTTACAAGCTTGTTTTGAAGCTGCCTAAGAATATTTTTAATGCGTGCCTGTGTGTATTCAGGGCAGGGTATTTTTTTTAAATGCTTGTAATTTTTATTATTAAAGATTTTCTTGAATTTTGTTATTTTTTCATAAATTCCATCAAGGGGCAAATGCCTTGTTTGACAACACCTCCACCACCACCACCTCCACCACCCATGTCCCTGGTATTCTGTCTGAAACTTTCTCATGTATTCATGTAATGAAAACGGTGGACCTTTTTCCTATGCCAAAACTTTTTGTTACAAAGAGAACATACAACCAGAGTTTGAGATCAAATATTTCTAGATGCTTCTTAGAAGTATATGAGGCATGGCATCCCCCCTTATAAAAATTATTTCAAGTACTAAAAATGAAAATCTAAAGCTAGCAGGTTTACTCAGTGCATAATGTACAAAGTTCAGTATGAATTCAAAGATTTCAAGCTTGCAGTATGTTGAGGTATGGGTAGTTTCCTCTTTGCTCTGATTTTGTCAGATCACTTATTGGAACTTATTTTTGTTACTGACATCAACTTATAATGCAAGGAATGTGATTTAATTTCAGATTATTGTGTCAATTTTGGAAAATTCTGGAAGGAGACTGCAAATAGATTATTATGCTGTGAACATTATAATTCAGTTCTGTTATGAATTTACATACATTTCACACAGGGATCCTGATCCCTTCTGCGACATATTGAGAAACTTCTGAATTATTTACCCTTTGTGGGATTTGGGAAATTTTGTATTTGCTTATCCAAACATCTCACACACTCTTTAATTTCATAGGTCCTTGAGTTAGAGCTCAGCAGGAGTGTTAATTATCCTGATTGAGGATTTCCATGGTTTACCTCAGTCTGGGTTAGTATCGTAAAATAGGCGTAATAGCTTCCTCCCATGTCTGTACCAACTAATTGTTCATACTCATCCTACAGTTTATCATGGGTACTGCTTAATCTTTGCACTTAACACATCATTAATAAGTACACCAATAAACAAACATGTATTTGCTGAACATAGCATATCATACAGACTTGTCTATCATTTTATCTCAAGCCACAGTTTCATTGGTGGTGATTAATATAATTAAATTCCCTGGCTTTGTATCTGCTGAGTCATCTCAGCCTGGTTATTTTGCAAAGCAGTATTTAGTCACTGTGTTCACATGGATAGCAAGCCAGGAACTTTAATTAAAAGATTAATAAGTAAAGAGTTTTGTTTTCATGGATAGTACTTATTCACTCACAGTTTCCAGTATTTAAATTAATTTTGGCAAGTGATACATATTGGCTGGGTGTCTTACAAATATAGGATCATGATATAACTTAGTCAATTAGGTGCTGGCTTTTTACCATGGAGTGTTGGGTTCAGTCCTTAGTGATTTCTTGTGAGATTGTTAGTGGATAAAGTGGAACCAAAGAAATTGTTTCCTGCGTTTCCATGGTTTTCACCTGCTGATCATCATTCTGCTGCTGTTCTGTACTCACCCACCACTTCCCCCCTGAGGTGTGCATTAGTCCCTGCCAAGCCAGTACATTATCACATCCTGAGTATTTAAGTTTGTGGATTCATCTTAGGCCTGCCATTTGTTGGGTAAAGAGCAAATGAGTTAGTTGCAAATATAGGATGTCACTGAAAGGTGTGAACAAACTTTGGGCAAGAGTGCCACATACCAAAACATGAAAAAGTCCATATCAGTATGTGTCTAGAAACATTTAATTTGTGAGTTATAGCTGAAGGAATACTGTTGTGGCCTGTTCAATTGTTATTATTAACTTTGATGGTTCATATCTTTTCAGTGAGTTAGTAATTGTCTGCTCCTGCATATTGTGGGTTGACTTCCAAATGCATTCCTGTTGTTACCAGTTACAGCCCATTTTGCAACGGCTCAATGGTGTTGGTAGTGTGTACTTGCGCAATGTTAGCTATACATACGCAAAATGTACTGAGTGCTTACTATGAAATGCTAATGTTCTTGTACAATAATTTGCTCTGTTGAATACCTGTAAGTACCTACAATGGATGGTTATTCATTTAATGAAATCGCCGACATGCTTCTTATGTATGGCCATGCTAATTGTAATTGTTGTATAGCCATGTGGCTGTATCAGGAACATTTCCGATATTGATGCCATGCAAACAATAAAGCGTTTGTCGCTGTTGATCGTTGTCTCAGAGAGACTGGAATGTTTAAGCCAGTTTCCGTGGATTTGGGAAGAGGGAGAGCCGCCAGGACACCCGATATGGAGAAATGTGTTCAAAATCATGTTAATTGGGACGCAGGTGTCAGCACGAGACAAGAGGGCGAGGAATTGAATGTTCTGCACATGACCATTTGGAGGGTACTGCATGTACATTTTCTTTAGCCTTGCCATTTATTAATGAGTGAAAAGTCTTATGCCAGCTGAATTTCTATCATGAGAGAACTTTGTCAGTGTTTTGTTCAGCGAAGTGCTGAGCGTTTCTTTGCTTCCTCAGTGCTCTTTACAGATGAGGCATGCTTCAGCAGGGATGGTATCATCAATGTTCACAACCAACATCAATGTGCAGAGGAGAATCTTCATGGTGTAGTCCATTCTGGACACCAGCAACAGTTCAGCATTCATGTGTGGGCAGGAATTTCTGGTGATTGTTTTGTAGGTCCATTTGTTTTGCCACATCAGCTTAGACAACCACTAAATGAGGTTTGCTCTTACATGATCTGCCAAAGCTACTGGAAGATGTACCACCCGCAGTCAGAGCACATGTGTGGTACATGCATGGTGGTGCTCTGGCACATTTTAACTGCTGTGAAAGATATTCTCAATAACACTTTCATGTACGTGGTGTGTGTTCAAAAAGTATCGAACCTTCTTTTTTCCCGCCTAAACCAATGAAGTGCGGGAGGCTTCCTTTGGTGGAGATGTGGAGGGGACATTCATGCGCAGTCGTGATTTTTTCCCACCCACAGAAAGTGTCAGTCGCTGGCAGTCAGCCTATGAGTGAGGAAGTGTAGTGAGTGCCCGTCGGATTCCAGTATGGTGTAAAATGATGGAACAACATGAGCAGCGATATTGCATCAAATTTTGCCAAAAGCTTGGCGATACCCAAGTGGAAACCATTCACAAGATTCATCAGGCTTTCGGGGACGATGCCGTGAGCAACTCACAGATAAAGGAGTGGTACAACCGCTTCAAAGATGGCCGTACATCAGTGGACAGCAAACCTTGTTCAGGCAGACCCTCAACAAGCCGAAATGAGAATGTCATTGAACAAGTGCAGACTTTGGTCATGGAGGACCGAGAACTTGCAAATGAGATAGGGGTAAGCATTGGATCGGTACATTCAATTTTGACCGAGGATTTGGGCAGGAGGAGAGTGTCCACGAAATTCGTACCGAAACTGCTAACAATGGAGCAGAAGCACCGCCGTCTGGAAATCGCACAGGACATGCTGGACAATGCAAACAGTAACCCCAACTTTCTGAACACCGTGATCACAGGCGATGAGTCGTGGGTTTATGGGTACGACCCGGAAACCAAGATGCAGTCATCACAGTGGAAACATCCGACATCCCTGAGGCCAAAAAAAGCACGGCAGGTCTGCAGCAATGTCAAGGTCATGTTGGCTGTTTTCTTCGACTCCCATGGGGTTGTGCATCATGAGTACACACCACAAGGCCAAACCATCACAAAAGAATACTACCAGGAGGTCCTTCATCGCCTTCGTGATGCTGTGCGGCACAAATGACTGGATCTGTGGGCAGCAAAATCTTGGCAGCTTCATCATGATAACGCACCCGCCCATTCTGCACATCTGATTCAGACTTTCGTCGCCAAACACAACACCCCTGTGGTTCGTCAGGCTCCCTACTCCCCCAACATGGCTCCGTGTGACTTTTGGCTATTTCCCAAGCCAAAAATGCCGCTGAAATGAACCTGATTTGAGTGAAGAGAAGACATCATGTGGAATGTGATGGCCCGGCTGATCACCATTCCAAAAGACGCGTTCCAGAAGTGTTTCCAACAATGGCGGAAGCACTGGGAGAAGTGTGTGCATTACCAAGGAGACTACTTTGAAGGGGATTAGGGTTATGTACCTCCAAATCAATAAATATATTTGTGCTGACCAAAGCTTTGATACTTTTTGAACACATCACGTACAATGGATAGGAAGAGGAAGACCCACTGCATGGCCACTGCATTTGCCAGATATGGATCCTCTGGATTTTTACATAAAGGGACAGCTAAAGACCCTTATGTATGCAGTCCTGTTGACAACAAAGAGGTACTTCATGTCCCTGTGGATGCCTGTCGGACTACGCACAACTAGCCCATCATCTTTGAATGGATTTGGGGTTGGTTCTTGATGAGATATGTTGAAGTGTGCATTGAATCTAATGGAGGACATTTTGAACACTTACTATAAATGTCCCCTTTCAGCTGTAATCCACAAATTTTTTCCAGACGCATGTTGATATGGACATTTTTCTTGTTTTGGTATGTGAAATTTGTGCCAAAAGTTTGTGTACATCCAAAGCCTGGAAATTTTAGTTGGTGCACTGATTTGGTACATGGATCAGAAAGTTAGAGTACGACTGGACACGGGGGAGACAGGAAGTGTGCAGATTGGAAGAGGAGTTCGACAAGGATGCTGTTTATCACCAATTCTATTCAACTTGTACAGCAAATGCCTTACCAAGGAAGCTCTGGATGGGCTCGGTGACTTCAAAGTAGGAGGGCAAATTATTCAAACTGTGAAATATGCAGATGACCTTGTGTTAATGGCTAAGGAAGAAACTGTGCTACAGGGCATGATTGATAGACTAATTGAAATTGGAAGGTGCTATGGCATGGAAATGAATGTGGAGAAAACAAAAGTAATGAAAATTTCGAGACAACCAACCCCAGTCACAATAAAGATAGACCAAAAACAAGTGGAGAATGTGAAATGTTTTAAATATTTGGGTAGCTTGTTAACAGATGATGGAAGGTGTACTTGTGAAATTAAATCCAGGATTGCCATGGCAAAAGCTGCATTTAGCAAGAAGAAGAATCTTTTTACCAGCAAATTGGACTTAAATTTGAGGAAGAAACTAGTGAAATGCTACATTTGGAGCATAGCTCTGTATGGGGCTGAAACATGGACACTTAGGGCAGTAGATCAGAAACATCTGGAAAGTTTCGAAATGTGGTGTTGGAGAAGAATGGAGAAGATCAGTTGGACCGATTATGTGAGAAATGAAGAAGTGTTAATTAGAGTCAGTGAGCAGAGGAATATCCTACATGAAATAAGAAAACGGAAGGCTAATTGGATTGGTCATGTTTTACGCAGAAACTGCCTTCTAAAAGAAGCTATCGAAGGAAAGATAGATGGGCGGATAGAAGTGACAAGAAGACGAGGAAGAAGACGTAAGAAGATGCTGGATGACTGATTTGGTATGGGCTGGACAACCAGTGAGTTGGAGTTTAATTCCTGGCAGGGATAAGAGAATTTTCTCTTATCTGAAACTTCCAGACCAGCTCTGAGGACTACATAGTCTCGTATTCAAAGGGAACTGGGAGCTCTTTCCCTTAATAGTAAAGTGGCCAAGGTTAAGAGTGCATGTACCTCTACATCCACTTCCTCATGTGCCTTTATGGCATGATTATTAATTAAACATAGAGACAGCTTTACTGTCAACTTTTTACAAATGTATACATTTTCACACGGGTGCATGCACAGTAATGTAAAGTAAAAATGGGTGTGAAGACTTTTCTTACCTTTCTAGGGGACATACCATTATTTTCTTGAAGATATCACCTATTTTGTTTTAATGGGAGAGATTGTCTCCATAAATTCACCAAAATTGTTATAACACCTGATGATGACCCTGAAGGGTCGAAACATGTAGTGGAATATAAGTTAATAAATTTTATATATATATATGATTTATTATACTGCAATTGGGTTTTAGCCCGGTGGCAGTAGTACACAATAGGACACAACAGACAAGTAACACATTACACTAAGTGACAACACGTTCAAACAAAACACAATACACAAAACACAACAATAAGGACATCCTACCACAGTGAATACAAACCAAATATGATTAACAGCTACAACAATTACAGAGAAATACAAACAACTGCAACAAATACAACAACAACAAGGACATCCTACCACAATGAATACAAACCAAATACGATTAACAACTACAACAATTACAGAGATATACAAGAAAAAAAAATACAACACCCAAAACACAAACAAAAGGAAACCAACAGTCATGGATGCGTAATGTCATTTACTTCACTTCACTGCAATTTTTTTCTTTTTAATTATTTCCACCCCAACTTCACTTCGCCTCATTTATCACTTTCCTAATCCTTTGCCTAAAATTGCTTGGTTTACAGGACAGAGTACCTAAAGCATCTGCAGGTAGTTGGTTCCAGAGCTGTATGGTCCTATTTACAAAGGAGTATTTCCCAATATCTGTCCGTTGCTTTCTACTCCTAATTTTCTTGCCATGATCACCCCTGCTCAGATAGCATGGTGTTTCTAATCTGTCACCTATAGCCTTCCAAGCCCGTTCTCCTGTGTATGCTTTGAAGAGAGCACATATGCGAGCTATCTTTCTGTGCTCTGTCAAGGTTTCCCAGTTCGATTCGTTCTTATGGTGTGCAAATTTAGCCGCTTTCTTTTGCACCCGGTCTAACGCATAGTTGTGCTGGTGGTGGAATTTATATTATTAGTTGTTAGATCTGCTTTCGAAGAAAATCACAATTGTGTTTTTTGCAGGGGCCATGGAATGGTTCCTGTTTTTGGAGCTGGTATGTTCATTTCACACAACAAAGAACCTTGGCAATGAATATCTGTAGTTTTTTCCAAGAAAGTCAGAACAACTTTTGTTTTTGTGCAGGAAGAAAATTATTCAGATTGCAGAATTATGGAAGGTCACTTTCTCTCTCCTTTTGTGACCCATCTACCAGGCATTGTACCAGTCGAATCAGAAACTGCATATTTTCAAATTGTGCTCCCAAAGAAGTGGAACTCCAACCACTACAAGCCAATATGTCTACATCTTGCTGGGACAGGAGACCATGTAAGTTTAGTGTAATGGATTGACTCTGATAAACTTTAATTAACCCTTTTTTTGCCATGAGCCAATTGGGTGAGCTTAGTTATATAGTTGTGACGCTGAAAGCTTCAGTAAGTAACCCCTAGAAAAAAATATTAACAATCCTTGGAATAATTTTGCTCCAGACATGCTTCATTTTGTGAGACCAAACCTGTGTAGTCTACAGGGTTACTGGTGGGAGGTTTTTCCATTTCCAGGTACTAGATTGCTGTGATACAGATTCAGGATTTTGATTTTCTTGTTTATGATTTTGTTATTTGCTTATATATGTTATGTTTGTTTAATTAATATATTATTCTTTTGTATGATAGATATTGCTCTTGACCCTCCTATAGCATAAGTAAAATTGAATTAAATTCCATCAGATGCAATAAACATATATAGAACAAATATATAACAGAGTACATTATTTTCAGACTACCTGTTGTGAAGGAACATGAACATTGTTGGGCTTCACAGAAAGATTCCACAGAATCAAAAATTCTATTACTTTACAAAAATATATCTTAAATAGTAATGTTTTAACCCTTACAAGAGAACACATGCGTGCAGTACTTTTGAAGCATTTCCTTTAGAGTGTTGGTTGCCTTTCAGTGATGGCCATTATTGGCTGAAACATGTGCTATTATAAACATTGTTGCATTTAATGGAATTGAATCTGAATTTTACTTATAAGATCTTCGTTGTTCATTTGTTTATTAATTCATATGTTTTATTCCTTATTTATTTACTTTATACTTATTCATTTATTCCACTTGAGTCAACAGCGCATTTATTCATGTGCCACCTGAAACCTGGAGAAAGTGGTAAATTTGAAGGACCAGCCCTTTTATCATGTTCATGTGAATTTTAAGGCTAGTTGTTAATTTATTTTCTTTTATTGCTAAGGGTTTCTGGAGAAGAAGGCAAATGATGGCAAAACCACTGCTTAAAGGAGGAATAGCTTCAATCATTCTAGAAAATCCGTTCTATGGTCTGCGTAAGCCAAAAGATCAAATGTAAGTATTTGGCTGTTAAGTGTATTGTTTCATTCCCTTTAATGGCAGTTCTGCTGTAGTTTGATGTAACTGTACCTGGGACATGATACTTTGTTGTCAGACCATCTCATGTGGTTAGAGTGGTATATCTAGTTCTGCAGTCCGTCCAGTTTTCTTTCTATTGAATACTGGGACACTTCTTTGGGGAGATTAGTTGTATCCGTTTCCATCCATTATTGAAGCTAGGAATGTGTACAGCTTTACTTTTTGTCCTCCATATATTGTCCATTAACCCTATAAATCTGGTCTTAGTACATGTACCATGCCATTTATCTCTTCAAGAAAGTGATAGTAGTACACATACCACCTTAACTTAAAAAATCTACAGTAAAAAGAACTACCTGTGGTATCAGCATAGAAGTTGTATTCTTTGATGCCTCAAAGTTTGTAGTTTTGTGGTTCAGCAATAGCGGTCTCTGCACAATGTTAATGTGAAGTACTGCAACCTGTAGCATGGTGCTGCATTCACTACTGAAATTCAGTATGTACATTCTCTCAAGCTGTTCTCATGTTGAAATCAAGGTGAGCTCACATACTGTTCTAAGAGTGATTTGTCACTGGCTTGAATGATGTCACTCTGTATTTTGTGGGGACCACCACAGTGAATCCAGTGCTAGCCAATCACAGGCTAGGAAGCAGCCAGTGTTAAGCAGTGGCTGGGTAAACAGCTGTTATGAGGTAAAATCTAGTTGCAGTGCATCGAGCACTAGCCAATCACAGGCTAGGAACCAGCCAATGCTAAGCAACAGCTGGGTAAAAGAGCCATTGCTGGGCAAATCATACAGCAATACAGACTATGATGTGTTTTCTATAGGTCCGACTCAAGATTATATGAGAAGGTATACAACTCGCAGGGTCATGATGGAGGTATTGAACCTCGCCTCCACATGGGTTTCTACCATACTTGAAAGTCAATGTCAAAATGACATTGCGACTGACGGTTAGTCAATTGACACCAAGACTTGCTGACTGACTGACTGTCAGTCACAATGTGACTTTGACTTTGACTTTGAAGTAAGGTAGAAACCCATGTGGAGGCAAGGTTCAATACCTCCATCATGACCCTGCGAGTCGTAGGAGGCAACAGAAAGGGAAGTCTCAAATCTGAGACAGTAAAATATGGTTGCAAGTACCAAGGGACTCGAACCCAAGAAAAACTGTGCCAGCAGCATATACAAAAGACAGACCCATCATCTTGTCAGAGAGGGCGCCCCACAAAAGCAAGACCGTAACTGTCAAACGGTAATAAAGGGGCTCGACATCAAGGCTTACTGACTGACCATCAGTTGCAATGTGACTTTGACTTGAAAGAAGGTAGAGTGTGTGTGTGTGACAATTAATACAGGCAGTAGTATTGTTATATTATTAGTCTTCAGCCAGTGACTTCAGTTCTTCAAGTTTGTCTGTATATTCTGTGCAGCTACAATAAATTTCTATACACCAGTTCAGTAAGTGGTTGTCTCTACATACATACGACAACCCACAATTTGAACATAAATACCTTCAGTTTTTTATTGCTGCATGTTTGGTGCAACATTTTCCTTACATGTGCAAAAATTTCACAATTTATATGCCAAAATTGCCAAAATGATTACTTTTTCTGTGGCCTTTTCAACCCTCCAGCATGGGAAAGGGGTGCTTAAATGGCACCAGTCACAAAGTATTAAGCACGGGGATAATTTTATCTCTACTTTCTTACATATTGTCTTGAATGTTCTCACACATTAATGGCTATACACAAGGTTTGGAATGGTAATTGGATTTATTGAACACTTATAAATAGTAACTACAAGCGATTATAATGCTCTTGCTAACTCATGCACTCAACTTCACACTACTTGGCTGACATCAGCAGTGTTAATTCAGTTAACCTTAATCGGCCAGGCCATTTAATTTCTGGTAGGGGCAGCTGGACGGAGTTTATTTAAATGCCCGCCCTTCTAGAGCAATGAAATTGTAAGCATGTTTCTAAAAATGGTGTGATTTCTACATTTTTTATGATAAACGAACGAAATGAACGCTCCTTTAATGTAGAAAGAATATAGAATCAGATATTCTAATTTACAGATTTTAATATCTGTAAAAAATTTTTACAGTGATTCCCAAAATAAAATTTCCCGAAATTCATACATTTTCTGCACCATGAGTATTAGCAGTGTAAGTCCTTGTGGCGACTTCACATTCAATGGTATCTCTTGTTGTAGCTTATTTATCGTATGGGACTCGCTATGCACGACTGTAGGCGTCTGAAATTCCTTGCTGCCTAATGTGTTAGATAAACACAGGAGTTAATTCTCGGAATATGGTGTTGCCAGTTCGGTCATTCGTTCATTCATTGCAGTCAAACCATTGTGTTTGTAACGATTTTGAAACATCGCAATATAAGGTTAGCCACCCATGACATCATGAAGCAGATATTGGGTTCAGAGAAGTCGTGAATGAGATTTTTGTATGTGTGGGCTCGAGGTTAAAATTTATGGCTTCTTATCGTGGTCTAAGCACAGAGATTCATTGGTAGCACTGCTAGAGAGCCGTATACACGACGACGTCGTATGGAAAATGCTGAAATGAGAAACAGCTGTTCAATGACACAGATTCGGACTGCTATTCAACCGATTCTGAATGTGGCGTGGAAGGTTGGTCTTCTGATGCCTGAAATTGAGAAACAGCTGTTCAATGACACAGATTATGAGAGGGGCGAGCAAAGTTGGAATTCTGATTCCGCGGACGACGGGTCATCACCTTCGTCGGCAACTTGGGGACCGCCAGACCAGTGTGGCTGGAGAGGTGTGAATAATTATTCCGGTGTAGCTGCGGGAATAAATATCATTGCAGCTCGACATCACTGGCCTGCTTCCTCTAAATCTCAACTGAGGTGTCGTGTGTGCTTTTCGTGTGGGAAGCGNAAGGCTGTCACATTATAAAGGTTGTGACCAAAAATTATGTAAATAGAAGAACAATTTATATTTTAAATTTAATTTTAAAAAAATCTTTACACGCGTGGAATGCGCGACATCATATGATGTCGTTCTTAAATTTGTCCTTACTTTTAACGTCATATGACGTCCCTAGATTACATTAGATCATGCAGGAACGAAGGCTGTCTCCTTATAAAGGTGGTGACCAAAAATCATGTAAATAGAACAATAATTTATATTTTTAATATAATATTAAAAAACCTTACACGCGTGGAATCCGCGACATCATATGATGACGTTCGGCCAGCTGCCCTAACTTTTAATGACATCATATGATGACGTTCGTCCGATAAAGGTTCAGATGTTGCATGGCGAATGTTAATTTGTGCAGTTGTTGGGAAGAAAGAACCAAGATTGCCCAAATTAATCAGCAGGTTATAACTGTCACCATCATTTTTACTATCAGGTCCAGTTGTCTCAGTTATTATAGGTACTGAAAAACAAGTGACAATCCCCTACTCCTCTCTCCAGAAGTATCTTCCTCCTCCATGTTGATATATATGTTTATGTCTCATAATCTCTCTAGAACCCATTTCAGCGAGTTTTTCTCCACTTTTCTGTATTATGTTACAAAAGTATTAATTGGTGATGCTTTCATTTATGTTTTAATTCCTTTTTCCAGCCAGTAACCTGCCCTCTGTGTAACAAAACACTCCTCAGCTAGTAATCTTTGCACTACCGAGTATTCATCTGAATATTATAAACTAAAGATGCTACAAAGAAATATAATTAATTATGTATTATGTATGTGAGCATCCTGTGATCTACATTCTCAGGAGTGGTTGCATGGTTTGAAATCCTTCAAGACAAAATTACTTTGATTTCTCTGCATTTAATTTGCTTTAAAAATAACTGCAGTACCATATGTTTTAGCCATCTCTGATCTTTCCTTTAGGCAAGTAATTGCATTGATGTTTAGTCTACACCAGAAGAATTTAATTGAAAAGAATTTGTATGAAATTGCATTGATGCCAAATTTAGTCACTAGATACCTGTGTTGTATTGATACAGACTAAAGGAAGTCTGCTGTAAAGAATATATGTGTTTTATTTAAGAAGGGAGCATTCTGGCACTTTTACAGGTATTTTTGTGTTCTTAGTTTTGAATTCCTGATTCCTTGACCTTTCCTTACAGTGCATTCTATATTGTTATGCTCTGGTTCTTATAATATAATAGACTGTAGAGAAATTAAAATGGCTGTACCCCGTCTAACATACTGAAATGTAATATAATTTTCCCCCTTCTGACATACTAAAATGCAATGAGATTTATGTTGAAGTTAAATACTGAGGAAGAAAGTAGCGTGATAACACCACATGCTAGTGTTTCAGATGTGGTGGTAGGAAGGTTAACTTTCCAATTTTTCAGTGATAGCAAAACTATTCAGCCTCATAGCACATGAACAGGAACTATTTCTGATGTTCAGAATGTGAAATAACATTATTTTGTGTGTGTGTGTTGGGTTTTGATGCAGATTTTAATTTATATAGAGAGAGGATGAAGTGTGTTCATAAACCTGCCAGTTCATCCTCATATTCATCTCACAAAGCACGTAAATGGTTTGACCTTTACTGAACTTGATGTCTGATGAACTGAATTGTCGCTTCATGAGCCTACCAAATCGAAGTTTCAGTTCGGAACAGCCACCTGAGGAACCTAGGAAAGTTAAATATAGTAGGGAGGTTGATGTATGAGTAAACACAGGGAAAGGACATGTTGATATATTGTCACTTGAAGCATGAGAGTATAATACTGTAAAGATGAACACACAGTAGGGGTATAGTTGTAAAAATGAAAGTGCCAGGGCCATCCAGCATGGAATTCCAGGTTGACAGGACTGAATATGAATCATGGTATGGAGCTGTTCTTGTTACCTTGCGCTAACTATGCTTTTAAGCGCAGAAATGAACAACAAACAGATCATGAAATGCACACAGCTAGAGCTATCTCCACCAGTCTGTGAGCTTTACTCGTGCTATGCTGTTAAATTAACTAGAAGCATCATATCAGTCATAGGCATGGCACACAGCTATAGCTATCTCCACCAGTCTGTGAGCTTTACTTGTGCTATGCTGTTAAATTAACTAGGAGCATCACATCACTCCTAGGCATGGCACACAGCTACTGTCATTGATCACGTTGACAGTCAATCCTGCAGGTTGGATAATACATCAAGTCATGTTTGATTCCTTTGCTCTTTCGCCCGCAGATACTAAGCTAAGGCCAATCTCAGAGATTGGTGGCAATAACTATACTAAGCTGATGCCTCTACCACAGAGATCATAAGTTAAAGAAGCTGAAGGAAGTCTTTATGTTTCATGTTGTTGTTTTAAGTAGAAGAGCAGTGCTAGAGTACAAAGGCAACAGGGCACTGCCCTGGCTCAATTACAATTCTTAAAAATATGTGGAATTGTTCAGGCATTTTGGAACAACAGAAGCAGGTGGAAATTGCGTTTGAGAAGGGATTAAGAGGAGACTGAGAGGTGAGAAATGTGTACAGAATTATTTGAAAAGTTTGAAGGGAAGCCAGCTTCTGTAAGACCTAGGTGTAGGCAGGACAGTATTAAAATGAATCTTTGAAGGAATGTGATGGAAAGGTGTGAGATGGATTCATCTGGCTTGGGATAGGGACCAGTTGTAGACTGTTAAGAACAAAGTAATGAATTCGTGGGTTCCATACACAGTAGGGAATATCTTGAGCATCTGAATGATTAGAATTTTTTGCTCCATGAGTGAATTAGTTGGAAAACTAATTCTGATGTCACAGATAACCTCTTCATGAATCAAGAAGAATTACGTATATTTGCTGTGCAGACAACCATTCTGCGAACCATGGAATTAATTAATATTTAAAGAAATATAAGATCGTGTATATTTTATGCCCCTGTACCGTGTTTTGCTGAACTGTTTACTGGCTTTGTAAACAATAAGTTTGTATCTGCAATAAACAAATGCGAAAACTATCAACTAATATAGTCTAAATGGAGTTTTCATCTCTGTTCTTGTCTGTAAAGTTAAATATTATTTTGATTTATATCTTTTGAAAGTCGTTCGAGTCTGCACAACGTGTCAGACATCCTTGTGATGGGTGGTTGCCTTATATTGGAATCACTGGTTCTGTTTCACTGGTGTGAGAGCAACGGGTTGGGACCTCTTGGTGTTACTGGGATGTCTATGGGAGGACATGTAAGTGCTTCATAATTTATTATGTCTAATACAGTGAATTATGTATTAAGACAGTTGAGGAAATGAACATTTTGTATTTGCAAGATTTTTTTATGGATGCCAAACATCCTGTGTAAACAGGATTTCTTTTAATAAATGGATTGTGACTTTACTTGCTAAGTAGTGGAAATACAATGCTCATTACAGATGTTCAGTTTCTACATAATCAGTGACTTCATTTAATTTAATTTTGGGTTGGAATAGCCCAGTCAGAATAGCAACTGGCTGGGATAGCTCAGTCAGTGTAGCGATGGGCTGTGGGCTGAATAGTTGGTGTTTAGTTCCTACCAGGGGCAAGAGAGTGCTTGGACTGGCTCTGGGGCCTATGCATCCTCCTACTCAGTAGGAACCATGGGGCTATTTCCCCGGGGATTATGTGGCCAGGGCACATTGCTGGTGATTGTTTTGTAGGTCCACTTGTTTTGCCACATTAACTTGCTGGCAACCACTACTGAGATTTGCTCTTACATGATCTGCCAAAGCTACTGGAAGTTGTACTACTGTCAGTCCAAGTGCAGATGTAGTACATGGTTGGTGGTGCTCTGGCACATTTCAGCCATGCTGTGCAAGATGTTCTCAGCAACACCTATCATAACCAGTGGATAGGTAGAGGACCCACTGCATGGCCTCTGCATTTGCCAGACTTGAATCCTCCGGATTTTTATTTATGTATGCAGTCATGTTGACAATGAAGAGGCACTTCATCTCACTGTGGATGCCTGTCGGACTACGCACAACTAGCCCAGCATCTTTGATTGGATGTGGGGTTGGTTTTTGATGAGATGTGTCAAGGAGTGCATTGAATCTCATGGAAGACATTTTGAACACTTACTATAAATGTCCTCTTTCGGCTATAATGTACAAATTAAATGTTTCCAGGCGCGTGTTGATATGGACATTTTTGCTTGTTTTGATATGTGGAATTTGTGCCCAGAGTATGTCCACACCTTTCAGTTACACTCTGTATATGAGCCACAACACTTTTAAGGGATGAAAAAACTGCATTTCANGTTTCGGAGTAAAAGCACACAGAACCGGGAAAGGCTCTCAACTTATTGCATTAAAATCCGTTTCAATATTATCCTTTCCTGTTTTCCTTTAAGCAATTCCAGCTAAATGTTTTTATGCAAATCTCATCTCTTACATGCGTGGTAGATCTACTTGTCCTGGTCTTAGCATTCTCATTAATTAATTAATTAATTAATTTATATATTTATTTTTTACTTATGATGCTTGATATTCTATTTGAAGTGACTATAAAGATTATTGTCTTCAGGGATGTAAGTCTGTGTAGTCTGGTGGATTGACTTCAGATGTGAAAAAAATGTAAACAAGTTAAAATCTTATGTTTGGAGGGACAGGTTACCACAGCAAGCTCATGGGACATTGCTTTCCCCTGTCTACCCTTTGACCATGTGTTGCTTCACTCCAGTGCTGCTATTTCCCCTCACCTGACTACTGGCTAGCAATGTGCTCTGTGCATCTTCAAGGTCTTGTGCCCTGACAATGGAGGCAGTACATTTCCCCAGAAACACTGGTACCTATCTACTGAACTAAACAGCATCTCATCCCAGAAGACAGTCTTTAATTTGCTTATTTTAATTGCAGATGGCTTCATTGGCGGCAACAAATTGGCCTAAACCCATCGTTCTTGTGCCATGCCTCTCATGGTCCTCTGCAACACCAGTCTTCACCCAGGTATGCAGTATATGTTAGTCGTTAATTACATTTTCAAGAATAAATAATCTTTATCTGATGATTGTGGGAACTTTCATCTGTGATGTTTCCAGAGACTGTATGCTTTTCTTTACACTTTCCTTCACATCCATTTGTCTGGTCAGATTGCTATAAGTTGCAGTTAACCATTCTATGAAATACGAGTACATAATCTGGTCAAACCTTTTGAAATATCTTTTTGTGTATTTCATGTAAGTAGGTAAGTTAATAAGTAAGTTACAAATGGATATAGAACATAAACAATTACAAGCACTGATTTGAAGAATGCTTTTATTTCTCAACATAATCTTCCTGTACATTGAGGCACATGTCCTATCGTTTCACAAGCCCATGAAAACGAGCAGCATAAAACTCTTTGGGCTGCTGTCGGAATCAGGCGGTGACTTCCCTTTCTACAGCTTCATTGTCAGGAAAATGTTCAGCTGAAAGATGATGTTTAAGAGGGCCGATTCCTACTGTAACATCCTCGGGAAACTTCGTAAGGCCATTCAACAGAAGCGACCAGGACTCCTCACCAAAGGCATGTTGCTCTTGCATGACAACGTGCATCCCCATACTGCTAACAAGACAAATGAGATGCTGAGAAATTTCAAGTGGGAAGTCCTCGAGCATCCTCCGTAGAGCCCCGACCTTGCTACAAGCTACTTCCATTTGTTTGGCCCTCTTAAACATCATCTTTCGGCTGAACGTTTTCCCGATGATGAAGCTGTAGGAAGGGAAGACACCGCCTGGTTGTGACAGCAGCCCAAAGAATTTTATGCTGCTGGTTTTTAGGGGCTTAATTGTACAGGGAGATTATGTTCAGAAATAAAAGCATTTTTCAAATCAGTACTCTTATATCCATTTGTAACTTACTTATTGACTTACCCTTGTACATAAAATGCACATTTTCATATCTGCACACAGTCATTTCTGAAGTAGAAAATAATTTGATATATTACTGGACTCTGCTTCTTTCTTTATTTGGAGTTGTGAGAGGTGTTATTTCTCTTTCTTTAGATAGATTCTGACTGCAAAGAAATATCCTATATTCTTAGAAAGGGCATTAAATATTATTTTTAACCTGTCTTCTTTCCTTAAAAGGGGGTAAAATGGCTTCGTAGGCCACCATGTTGTGGGTCTATGTCCATTTCAATTTTTGAATCGATTTTCACCAAATTTGGTTGGACAAATGCCATCAGAGGCCACTCAATGTATGTTTTTATTTCTTACAGTCAGCGATAAAAGCATGACCAATGTACAGACATACTTCTCCCCTACCTGTGGATCTGAGTGACCATTTTCCTTGTAACCTATCTGTATAACCTGCCAGTATCCCCACTGCACTCACTTGAAACCTGAAGATGGAGACAGTATGTTCCTCTGAAAATGTTGGTATCCATGTACTCTTCAACAGTGTCACAACCAAGAAAACCGCAATGTGAATATGTGCAGTATATGTAAAAAATATTGTATTTGCTAATTATTGAGGGTTGTAACTCCTTGCTGTTCTAGGGAGTTATGAGCCACTCGATTAACTGGGATCTGCTGTGCTCACAGTATTTTGCTGAGGATGTTTACCGGGAAGAAATCACAAAGTTGGTCCGAGTTGATAAGGTACATTTATAAGACACATACTAGATCAACAATATCATATGATTATGAATCATGGACAGTGTCAGAAAGGAGACTAATTTCATCAGAAATGCATTTCATGAAGGGAACTGCAGGATATTCCATTTAACTTTCAAAACAACAAGATCAGAAGAGTGTAAATCTCATATGTGAGATATGAAGTTCTCACAGCAATGAATATTAATGTTACAGTCTTCTGGGCTGTGATACCTTGTAGTTTGGTAGAAAGATGCATGCATCTTAGAGGAAGCTGCTTTTGCCATCGTCAGTGTAGAAGACTGAGGCAGTAGGATTCTCCAGAACCTTGGTACTAGGTACATGAAGAGAGACTTTCAGATCCAAATGAGAATTCTGATAAATTTTGAGAATGGAGACAAAAATGAGAATTATTTCTACTAGACCATTTTTTTTAACTTCAGCCACCATTTATATCATTAGACTTTTTTCACAGTGCACTAAAGTGTCCTTCCTACCACTTTTGATATCACATCCTTTTCCAATGCAGAATTTTTGTAAATCATGATGTTAAAGGACTCAATTCCAGGCCATTCCCTTTTCACCATGGGCAGAAGGAGGGAGTGAGACAGATTTCATTGAAGATTTTATTTATGCTGGTGTTGCAAACTGTTGCAGCTCTGATGAATTAGATAGTTGGCATGCTGTTATACAAAGCAATCTGAAAACTTTTGAAGTTTGAGTAAGAAAGATCACTGTTAAAATCAAGATTGAGATTGCTTTCTTCCCTCTCATTTTATCTTAAAAGTTCAGGTTCACACATGCCTAGCTGATACTTATCAAACCGCATGGCACCAAATCCCAGAAGACCACAGCCTTATAAATCACATTTTTACTATGTATCAGTAAGTCATACAAAAATAAACATTTAATATGCCTTTTTAATTGCATGTTCTGCATGAAGATTGCTTTTTTTTTTTTTGTTGTTGTTGAAGGATGCATTCCGAGCTGGGCAGTACTTTGCAAAACATTTTCCACAAAGCATGGATCACATCCACAGACTTAGCAGAGAAGAGCATGAATTAAGCAAACAAAAGGAGTTCTGCAGAGCATCGCAACTAAATCCCAAATCTGTCACCACAGAAGGACACAGTGATAACAGCAACTTTAACCAGCAAACGAATGAATCATCACCGTCAAACTGTCAAGCAGTCATCAGTAGTTGTAATGCCTCTGGAGCATCAAATTATGAAGTTTATAATCCATCCTCAAACAGAACTCTCAGATCAAAGCTTGAAGTTCTTGCTGCAGAATCAAAATTAGGTACAGCAAATTTGATGACAAGTGCTCTGAAAGGTTCAGACCTGATAAACACATCAAACAATGTTGATCATCCTGACATAAATATAAATTTAAGTGTACCTGATCAGGCATCTGAAGTTACGAAGACAAAAGGCAGTACATTAGAGAGTCCACTAATTAAACAAAAACTTTTGGACCTGAGCATCTTAACTCAATTAAGTGAGTCAAAATCAAGGGTCTTAGGTTTCAGAAACAGGGATTTAGAGCACAAGAGCTCTCTAAGCGGTGCTTCAGTGGAAAGAATTGATAAGCTGAAAGGTAATTGAAATTCAGTTTGCTGTTGGATTACCCCTATAATACTCATTAATGAAACAGAACAACACTTCATCGTCATTGTTGTTTAGCCAATATTATGACCACTGCCAAGCCAGTTGACAGTGGCACATAGTGAAAGGCTGTTACAACAAATTCTAGCATGCCACAAGTATTCTGTTCATCAAAACTGAATTTTGTTCCAATGAACAGCAATTAGAATACATAAATCTTGAAACAAACAATATTATGTGTTAGAGTGACTATAAGCGGGTTTTGGATTGGATATTAGATTTATTAACCACTTACAGGTTCGTAACTATGAATAACTATAACAGTATTGCTCCAATGTTGAATGTGTATCCATTGCCATAGTTATGGGTTTACCATTTTTGTGCATTTATTTACATTTCATGAAATGAATGCATAGACTGCCTTTGTGGTCTAGTGGTTAGAGTTCCTTGCATTCTGCCATACACACGCATGGTCAAGTGCCATTCAGTTATGCATCAGATATACTAAATAGTTTTCCTGGGGAGTAAAGCGTGGTCAGCACGTAAGGCTGACACCCTTACCACCATCATTGAGCTGATTGTGTCTAGACAATGTGGGACCCTCAACGTCTCACAACCCTATTGGCCTTCATGGCCTGTTACAGGGATAGTTAGTTATTTAGAGAGGGTGGGTTTCCCCATGCACAGTGACCAGTTTGATCTATTGTGCTTCCCTTTATGATATTCTACCAGTCTCTATACCCTACCGATAAATGGTGCGTACCATCAGTCCCGCCGAGCAAGCGAGTTCGGCCACTTGCTTAGCGGTGTCTATAATGCTTCCCCCATCTATCAGAGGCCTTAGAGACTATTGTTGGGCGGGAAACGTCCTGGAATTTGGCTCAGTGATCCCCTTTAGGGATATGAGGTTCTTTTATGTGCCGTAAAGTTACGACACGGGACACACAGCTTAAAGTCCCTCCCGGAGGACTTGTTCCCTGAATTTTTCCGCCCTTAAAAATTCGACGACCTCCGCCGGGTATTTGAACCCGCGTACTACGAGTCATGAGGTGGGAACATTACCTCTAGAGTATGGAGGCTGCTTGTTACAGGGATAGCTTTACTTTACTTACTTTTACCACATTGTATTGTGTCACATCCTAAAAGACTGTAACATCAGTCATCATATTAACCATCAGTAATATTGGTCAACAGGTTCATCATGATATAAAAGAAAACACTTCAGAAATTAAGTCTGATACCTTGATTTGATAACTGCACATAGAAATTTTTTTATAATGTCACAATTTCATGTATTACATTTTGTTATGATGCAGAACGCTTTTTCATATTTATTTTTTCCTGTGTATTCCTATAATTTTTGTCAACTACAATGTGAGAAAATAATGTCTTATTAGTGAATGAAAGTTGATTTTCATGTAAATAACATTATTTCAGACGATGGTATATAACACACAGAGATATTGGGTTTTTGTACTTTATCCATTGTCCTGGTTTTAAGATAACTAAGAAAAACACGACATTTCAGAAACTGTGTTTTTCTTAGTTATCTTAAAACCAGGACGATGGATAAAGTCCGAAAACCCAATATCTCTTTGTACATTGATGTCTTGCATACAAAAGAGATGGACTTACCAAAAGGAGCTGTGTGTGTTGCAACTTTTTGATTATTTTTTTATGATTAACATACCCATTTTAGTCAAAAAGAGCTTCTTTCAAGTATGTTGTCATAAAAATGTGAAAAGTTATGCTGTGTAATTATTTGTGGAATTGTTATAAACTCTGTTTATGTACATTGAGGTAGCCCATTGACATTAGTTCATGCATGAGATATATATAATGTTTGTGTCTGATTCAGAAAATGTTAAGGAGAGCGTATCGCGCTGGCGCGAGGGTGAAGCGTTATTGTTCATGCATGGAATCATGGATGAATGCACGAACCTGCAGAATTTCTCTGTCCCTGTGGACACGTCCCTGATCATTGCAATTTGTGCAAGAAATGATGCTTATGTCCCAAGGGAAGGATGTGCTGATCTTACTGACATATGGCCTGAAGCAGAGGTGCGGATCCTTGATGCAGGACATATCAGTGCATACTTACTGCACAAACATGCTTTCAGGTAACAGTATTGCATATAACAAAATGTGTGTCTTGTAAGTCCTAGAAGTATGGTTGCCATCCTTGTCACTGAGTGTGCACGGGCATGACTTTGAAGAAGGAATAATTTTCTGTTTAAGAAATTAGATTGTATTCATGCATTAAAAAGGATGAGGAATGAGGATTTGAATTGTACCCCAAAACTGCCATAACGTAAGATTTTAAGCTTTGATGGTAAACAAATGTGACAAAAACTTCTCAGATGTTTGGCCATGGCTCTGTTGAGTTAGATACCAACTTTTCAGAGCTCACTTCTTTTGTCATCAGGGGCAGTGTAGTGAGCAGCCATATGTGACTGATACATATGGCAGGCTGTCCATACCTTAATATTTGCTCTTTGCTGTAGTGGCTATGACTGTTGCACATACTGGCAAGAGTACAAGTAAATTTCATAATACCTTATTCTGTATTTTACTGGGTCTGCAATAGGAAATGGGAAACAGAACAGTTAGATTCTCATGTGTATTGGGCGTATTTCAATTACCCATATAAATTCATATAAGCAAGACCTGTGAAGCCAGCAGAGTCACACTATCAAACACATTTCCATGACAACAATTGAATACAGCTATAATGGGAAGTGGTGTTTTCTACACAGTCCGTGCCAAGATGTCATGAGCAGGACAGTTAGTGAGAGTCAGTTGAGTTGAGTTAGGTGGTTATAAATAGTTGAGAGTTGTTATAGCTAGGGACAGGAAGAGGAATGTCTGCTGTTGGAAGCTGTTACCAGCCAATCAATGAGGACACAGCAGACTAAGAAAACTTAGTACATGCTGTAGTGAATTGGAGAGAGTGTGAATTGAGCTACTTTTAGTTATGATCTGTGAGTGTCTATAGTCAACTCAGTCATGTGACAGTATATTATTTTTTTCTTGTTACATAGCTGGCAGAATTTTTTATATGAGCATGTTATATTGTAATAAAACGGTTTTGTAGAAACTAACTGTACTGTTCCTCAGGTCATAACTCCTTCCCATTTTTGATGTTTATATTGCATCATGTATGCTGCCATTCCAAATCAGTGCAAGTGCCATTTACAGATATTTCCAGTTTAGTTGTTAAGGGGGTACAGACATGAACAGCATATATAGTACTGTAAGTTTCTCTTCCTTTTAGAAATCTGTAAACAGTTCTTTCTCTTTTTACAGAGAAGCCATCATTGAATCATTTCAGCGTTTGAAGAGGAAATACATAGACACATCGCCAGAAAAACAAATGAATTAGCATCGAGGAGTCATAACAATGAAGAGTGAAGTGTAGCGGAGAATGTTTGTTTTTAATTTGCATACTGTTTGGATATTAGTTTTGTGGGCCTGTGAACTAGGGTGGGGATGGAAGGGTGTTATGAGGTTACTGTGAATAATTAATAGTACCTCATACACCATTGTACTGGTGCTAAATTTTATTCAGAAACATTTTCTTGTCAGTTACTGGTGTGTATAAAACTGGCCAATATTTTCACCACTGCTAGTATTGCACAAAGCTGAGTCTGACCAGTATAAGTTATTGTTCCTTAGACAATTTAGATGGTATAAATGCTGCAAAAGGAGTGAAAGTCATAGAATTTTATATGTTTATATATATGTAAGAAGATATTTGCAAAGCGTCGCATGTCAGAATAACAATTTCTGCTCTGCAAGTTGAAGGAGTGTCCATGAGCACAAGTACTGGTCTGTATAAGATATTTTAGACATTAAAATGTACTAATTATGATATACTAAAGATTTATAGTCATGTAAATAAAACTGAGGGATTCTGTAATTTATTAAGTACCAATGTGATTAGATTTTGCATAAAATGATTTTAGACAAATTTGTGTCTGATATAGGCTATACTGATATTTGTTCCACACTAATTTTTTCTCTCATAATAATATACTAGTTACTTCCTTCTGTCTTACAGGGTGTTTCAGAATTGGGAAAAAATGGTTCTTTTTGATTTTGTTATGTTTTCTCATGGTTTCTAATTTGTGGGTTATCCTTATTTTAATGTCTCATACTTGTCAGATTCCAAGGGCTGATACAGACAGTATACATTATTTGTAACATCTACCTGTATTAATATAAAGGGTTCTCATGATGGTTATATTATGTTTGGCATTACTGAGTTCTGTATGTTATCCACTGTCTCTTATTCTGAAGGAACACAGGTCCAGAAACTGGATATAATTCCTTCCTCAGGTGAAAGGATGGGTCCATTAGAAAGAGCTGGTCTTAACACATTGCAGACCGGACGGGCCATATGGCCCTCTAAGTTTCCAAGCGTTGCGGACAGGGTGGGCCATATGGCCCTCTACGGTCACGTTATGTTGCAAAACGCTATATATCGCTGTGTGGCTTCATTGAATCGTAACTACTGCGTAGATGACCTCGGGAATGATTGCTGCCTTATCTAGTAACTCGACCAGAGTCATTTCCTGTCACAACCTAAACAAAATTGGCTTTGTTCTAATCCATGCTTGCACGTATGAACCACGCAGCTACCAGTTCAACATGGCTCAGAGACGAAAGCAGTTGCGATCTCTCGGAGGACAGGAAATATTAGATATGTTCTCCGATGAGCTATCAGATTTGCCAACTGCTTCGTCTTCTGATAGCGAGGCCATTATCAGTGACAGTGACAGTGACGGGGGCCACAGGGCTGCCCAAAATGTGTCAAGTGAAAGTGAGAGCTCCGTTGAAAGTGCGAGTGTCGGGACAGCTACATGGGATAAAGTGGACAAAACCCCCACTTTGGGAAAGTTTACTGGTGATCCGGGGGTGAAGCAGATGCCATCGGACCCAACGGACATGTCTGAAGTTGCGTCACTGTTTTTTGGAGATAGTTTCTTTGACGGAAGGGGGACATACTTCTTCAGTCCTGGAGGGATACTCTCGTTGTGAATATGGTTTCCACTATTCACAATTCGAGCATGGTCGATGTTCAGAGACGACACGGGCAAGTAAAGAAGCCTCTTTGTATTTCCGAGTATAATATGTTCATGAAAGGAGTTGATAGGGCCGACCAGTTCTTGGCCTGTTATTCCCTTCCTAGGAAAACAGTAAAATGGACGAAGAAAGTTGCACTGTGGCTTATAAACTGTGCAATTTTCAATTCATTTACGGTTTTCAAAAAGGTGAACAGAAATTCTACTTTGAAATACAGAGCATATCTGTTGAAACTGGCAAAAGCTTGGGCTACTGACGTCATGGTGGCGGCAGTACCTGCGTCAGACACAGACGTAGTGCAGCCGGGGCCATCTGTTCGCACCCGCCAGAGGCCTCAAGTAGACCCCCCTGGCCGACTCTCGGGTGATATGCGGAAACATATTCTCGTGAAAATTGTGAAGAGTGAATATTGCAAGAAGAAACACCCTTCTAGGCAGTGCCATGTGTGCGCAGAGCACAAGAAGAGTAGAACTGCCTACATGTGCAAATTCTGCGTAATGCCTCTTCACAAAGGGGAAGGTTTCCAGAGATATCACATGCGCAAGCACTTCTAGGAGCTCTGGTAAGTGTTCTCCAAAAATTTCAGTTCATAAAATTAATTAGGAGATTTTATATTAATTTTTAAAGTGAACAGTGCACAAGTTAGGGTAGTAGGTTTAAAAACGCCGGTCCCCAGGGTGATTTAAATGTTTAAACCACCAGTCCGCAATGTGTTAAATAACTAGACAACCTAAGTCAGTCAGCTGTACACCTAATCAGAGCTGATGCTAATTGCATTATGCTGGTTACATGTGATATCACTTTTTTGCTGTATTGCTCTCCATGAAATCTTCAATTACACTTTGATGTTGATTTGATGTTATAATTACACTCCACTGATTGTACTTTTTATCATTTGCATTGTTTATTGATGATTGGTATAAGTTCCATTGTTCTTACTATGTTACATTTGTTATTACGCCCCACAGTTGGTGTCGGTTCTGGTTGTTTCAGTAAACTGAAGAACTACTAAGGACTGCTTATGGGAAGTACATGATTTTGTAAGCATTAAAAATAATTGAACTCAAATGAGGTACTGGCTGACACAGGTTGTTTGTTATCGAGTTCTTGTGTAGTACTTAACATCAAGCACAGGAAAGGTGACTTTCAGATCTTCTTGTAGTCAGAAAAATAAATGTATGTGGCCTTATTTTGAAAGTTTTTCAAGTTCTGCAGCCCAGTGAATGTAATGACAGGGCTATGGGCTGGGTGGTTGGAGAGAGATGTTTGATTCCCAGTAGGAAGAGATTGTTCTCCACAGTTTTTAGACTGACTCTGAGGTCCACCTAGACTTCTGTTTAATGGGTTCAGGAGTTCTCTTCCCAGGGGTAAAGTAGCTAGGGTATGAAGCTGAACGCTTACCTCCATCTAGTGGTATGGTTAAGGAGTTCCATGATGTGCTTAATTAAGTACAGGGAGAACTTTTTTTATCTTATGTGGTACACTGACTCATAAATTTGGTTTAACTGTAGTCAGAAATTAGTGGGAACCCCTTGAATATGGAGATATATGTAACTGGTGCACTTTGACACTTCTGCCTAATAATAATAAATCTATTAAAAAGGTAGCAAATGCTACAGTTAATATTGATTCTCCTTGTAGGTCTGAACGTTTCTTACTTTCGTTGTATAGCATTGGGGCCATATCTGTCGATGAGTTCTTCAATTTCAGTCTTCCATAATTTCTTATTTTCGTCAGCCCATTTTTTTCTGGAACAGTTAATTGTGACTCGACTTGCCTGAAGGTCTGCTCAAAAAATCAAAGACCACAAAACATGTTGGAAAGAAATGAAAGTTTTGCAGACTGAACTGAACACCGCCTACAGGAAATACAAGGAATTCACCCATATGTTTCTGGCAGCTCACCCAATCAGCCAATCCAGTTTGGACATATCTCCCATCTGGTGTGCCATCACTGAAGCAGAAGTCACAAGACCACAACTTTGTCCAGCATAGATTATATGTGAAATTTGCGTTTTTATGTTGGTACTACATAGAATTTATTTCATTAGTGTTGGATTCTAGCTTGATAGTACTCTTGAGTTTATGGACTTGGGCCATTAAATTATGCTTGGCCACAGGCGCAAGGTTTCATGTGGAGTATTTTAATGTTTGTGGTTAGCTCCCACTGATGGTGTATGTTATGTTTGGTTTATCTAGTGTTTTTTTACCTGAGGAGGGAGACAAGAGTCCAATCTCTGAAATGTTGTTTTTAGATAAAAAAGCAGGATGATGGATAATGTCCAAAAACTCAATAATTGTACTGAATATAATATTAATTTGTTACTCTTGTTTTCACATATTTGAACTTGCCAGATTTTTAGGGATTTATTGGGTGTCTTTACATTATGATTTTTTCCTGCACTCTGGTGATGAGATGAATATATATACAAGGTGGTTCAAATATGACCGGGACTGATTTTTTTTTAAACCAAAATTTCCAAACACTTACTTGCACATGTCAGTCTTCAACGTACTCCCCTCCAGAGTCAACACATTTTTTCCTATGTTCTGGAAGCATCCTGATGCCCTTTTCAAAAAAGTCTTGTGGTTGGCGGCATATCCACTCCCGAACATTCTGGATGATGGTGTCGTCCACAAACCGCATGCCTTGCAAGTCTGATTTGAGCCTTCCAAACAGGTAGAAATCACTTGGTGCCAATCGGGACTGTACGGCGGATGTGTCAGAAGGTTCCATTTCAATTTCCGGAGGGTTTCCATTGTTGTTTTGGCCGTATGGGGGCGTGCATTGTCTTGAAAGAAGGCTACCCACTTTCCACCTCTCTTCCACTTGAATCAGATCTTTTCCTTCACGTCTGTTGCCAGGAGGTCTGAGTAATACGCTGCATTGACTGTTCTGGCATCTGTCAGAAAGTCTACATGGATAACCCCCTGCCAGTCCCAGAAGAACACTGCCATCACTTTTCCTGCCGAACAGCTTCTCCGCGCTCTTGGGTTTGGGAGAACTGGTATGCCGCCACTCGCGTGATGATTGCCGGGACTCTGGAATGAAGTAGTGCACCCACGTTTCATTGGTGGTCACTATATACTTCAAAAATGCTTCACCTTCGTCTTCAAACTGCCGTAGGAGACGACTGGCAACTTGCATGCGCACCATTTTGTTCACGTCTGTCAAAGTGAGTGGTACCCACCGTGCATTCACCTTGCGATAGTGCAGGTGGTATTTCATGATGTCTTCTACACTACCAACACTTATGGACAGCATTGCTCCAAGTTCTTTGATAGTGATGCGCCTATTCTCACAAATAAGTGCGTCTGCACGATCAATGTTTGGCTTGGTGACGGATGTTTGCGGCCAACGATCATGCAGTTCATTCTCCATGCGCTCTCTGCCCTCTCTGAAGCACTTACAGCACTCAAACACATGGGTCCGTGAGAGACACTCTTCCCCATACTGTTGTTGGAGTCTGGTGAATTTCAGCGGACGGGACGTTTTCTCCAATGAGGAATTTGATCACAATGCATTGTTCCACGCTCTGCGGTACCTTCTGTTCACTCATCACTCTAGCAACTTCCAGACCGGACTGAACAGGTTCTAACCCTAACAGGAGGGAGGGTGGAGGTTGTGGCTTCACTTTCTCAAGGTTGCACAGCTGCTATGCAGTGCGGCTTGTTTACAAAAAAATCAGTCTCAGTCATATTTGAACCACCTAGTATATATATAATCTTTTTCTCTTTGTATACGCTTGTAGACCAGCCTCTTCACTAGTGTCTAATAGCTTCTGTGTTTCTCCCCCTATCCTGCCTCCTCCTTGAAGGATTAAGGCATTTGGCCTGTGAAATGATAAATCATAGACAGGTGGTAGGACTCCTTGAATGGGGGATCAGTCTGTCACAAAGCTGCTACCTACACAGGACAACATAAACACAGGAAAGGCGTAGACATGCATCCATTGTGTGAGTGATTTGAACCCATGATCCCAGTGTTCAAGCATATGAAGACATTTTGTGCTCTATGCTTTGGGACCATTATGATCAGCTTTTGTGTTTTTTCTTTATGGTATTTACTTTTTCACCCAGTACATTTAGTAATATCAGTACGGACCAGAAGTTCATGTGTCCCATTTCTTTCCAGCTCCTCCTGATGATGAAATTTATTAAAACAGAGTTTAAAAGCAATGAAGAAAATGCATCTCCTTGCTTCAGATGATTCTGAATTATGTTTCATCATAATTTCAGGAAAAGGATTTTCATATTTCATTTACCATCACACAAGAAAACAACAGTTCCATCAAGATTACATGTATTAATGCCATTCAGTTTTGTTGGTCCATGTATTAGTTGTGAATTTCTAGGGTCAAGAAGCTATGTACTGTATGCATTCTATATAGTGAAAATTAACAAACACAGAAACACTACACAAAAGTTGGAAATACTGAAATATGAAACTAACGATTTTACTGGAAGTGGAACGTATCTAGTGGTTACATTTATAAAAAAAAACTTAAATACAGCATTATTTCAGGTAATCTTTTGCCCCCCCACACACACAAAGAAACTGTTTAATATTGCCTAGAACGCTCACGCAGGAAAAGGAGAATAAAGAGAGGGGGGAACAAACTGGTTCCCATCTGCCTAGTTAGTTGTTTACTTACTCTTCAGCCCTGAAGGTATAGGCAATATGTTTCCCCCGAAACGTCGGGCTCTTTCCCAACTACATGGCGTTACAACCCAGAAAATCATGCTCCTAAATTAGGAAAATTTACTCTATTACGGCATAAAATAAATTTTATTATACAACGCATATTGCAGTACAAAGTGAACGACACTAAACAGACGGGGTACCTTATTACTTCATGAAGCATAGAGTAATGTTTACCCAGTGCATATACACAGTTAAAAGTACAAAACATTACTTAAATAATTTATTGGTATAGCTTTGGCTCAACTTTGAAAATGTCCATAGATAACCTCTATTAAAGCGTGTTATACAGGTTATCTACGAACACTTTCCATGTTCCACCGTTCTGGAACCAATAATCATATAATAGCAACGTAGGTGGGTGAAGTCATAATTGCAAGGATGGATATATGTATAAATATTACGGACGTTACGATTTCCTATAAGTATAAGCACTTACGACACATTTTGTCACACATAACGAGACTTTGAAAACACCTCCACCTGCAACATCCACACACAACACCTGCATAGTGATGACTGGTGCTGACATCTATGAACCTGTTTGTAATAAGCGTCAGTAATACTGTGTGATTGCGTAGTATTACGTGGTGAGAGGCATGTTTTGTAAAATGTGAATGGGTCAGTGTGAGGAAGTTCGGAGGTTCGGAGGTTTCGGAGTAATTGAAGATAATCAGTTTCTGTAAGTATACAGTTAGTGAGAGGAACTGTGGCATAAATGAAATAAATGATATGGCGAGTTGGAAGTAAAATAATATATTCTGTGGAATAAGTGTGTATAGGTGTCTCAAGCCGTTGTTGACGCATTATCATAACTATTTTATTCAAATGATAATACGTAGTGCCGTACGAAAGCTCTTTTAGTTGTAGTTAGGACAAGTAGTATTGATCAGTGAATGGTGTTGATGCAATGTTGGCGTGTTTTTTCCAGAGAGCCATGCTGCTAACATGGACAACAGCGTAGCATTAGGGTAACATATTGTTAGCAATAATTTTATTTTTTCCATAAAACAGTCACCAGTTACAATACATTATTGTTATAAATACGTCAAGACAATCAGTGAAGAAGAAATTATAATTTAGATTGTATGTTGGATTGATGTATCAGTACAGTGAAAGAAATTGCGTCTCGCCTCGTGGTGAAGCTGAGCTTTTGTATTATATTAAGCAAAATGGCGGCTCAAGTCGCTCAGTCCAGTGATGGCCCTCAAAGCAGAGAGACGGTAGGAGTATCGTATGCGAATGCAGTACTTAATTTTAAGAACATCGATAGTAATAAAGAAAACATAAATGCGGTATCACATGCGACCCCTAAAGAACACAGTGTGAAAGAAGCTCCAACAAGAAGTAAGACAGCAGTGCAAAAAAGTGTTAAGCATCACGCGTTAAATGTTTCTGGCCCGAACAGTGCACATGGCAACGAGGATTTTCCTCAGATTATCCCACAAGGTAGGAGTTCGAGGAGATTACCCGAGAAAATGGACGAGAATGTTAATGTGAGCAGTAGACCCGTAAATAGTTCATGTGCCGACAAGTCGGAACATGATGAACAGAGTTGTTCTTTAATTGAAAACGAGGGAGACAGTGTTTCTGATAAAGTTCCTGAAAAGAAGAAGTATGTGGAAGCACCTTTGCCAAAGATAAATCCATGGACAGTGAATAAGAATGCTGCATCAGTGATAAGAGGGAAACAGTCAGAGGCTAAACCGCAGGCTGGTTCCAATTTTATTACACCTGCTGTGACTTCAAATGAGAAGCGAGTTTTGCAACCCCAGCAGCAGGGTCGAGTAGGTGAGTAACAGGCATTGTTTTTATGTACTCTGAAAGTTTCAGTTGTGTGGGCTTTGATGTATATTAATTTGTATTACTTTTTGTAGTTCTTATGCATATTACAGAGTGTGTGCTTGTTTTTNGACCAGTTATTGGTCCATTGTGTGTCCCCCTTTAATTTCTACTGTCCCCATACCCTACCGGTACTGGTGTGTGCTATCAGCCCTGTTCAGCCAACGAGGTCGGCCGTCGGTACCAGATATTTCCCCAATCTACCAGAGGCGTTGGAAACTACTTGGGCGGGAAATTGTTACCTAATTTTGCTCAGAGGTCTCCTAGAAACATGAGGATCTATGTGCCGTAAATCTATGACACAGGACTCACGCCTTAAAGTCCCTCCCGGAGGACTTGTTCCCTGAATTTTTCCGCCCTTAAAAATTCCACGACCTCTGCCGGGTTTGAACCCGCGTACCTTGAGTCATGAGGTGGGAACGTTACCCCTAGGCTACAGAGGCCGCTACCCTCAGTCTGTTTTCCTCCCTTAATGTCAGAGACCAAGTTTCACACCCATACAGAAACACAGGCAAAATTATTTGTTTTGTATATTCTAATTTTTATGTTTTTGGACAGCAGACAAGAAGACAAAAGGTTCTGGACTGACAGAAATGGTGAGAAAAACTATTTCACTGCCACTAAGACACACAGCAAACAGTACCAAGATATTCTGACATAGCCAGACGGTGAATATTACCACCAACTGTGAGGAAGAGCTGAAATTGTATACTGCCTGAGAATAGTTCCATAAGCAAGTCCTTGGCCCATCCAAGCATTATACAGCTCATTCTGTAAGCAGTTGCTGCTGTGAGAACCTGGAATTATCATCTCCTGGTATCCATGTTCACCTGTTTATGGGTGTGAATGTCAGCATTTAGCTTGATAGTATGTTAAACCCTACTTTGCCCTTGATGCATTCTTATATAGTGTAGAATTTATTTCTGTCTTCTGCAGGTTGGTTGGGAGCCAGGATATCTCAGTAGGCATAGTGACTAGGGACAAGACTTACTGATTGCAGCAGGACGTGCTAATATAATCCATCTTACAGACATGGTGGAGGGGCTATGCTACAAGCCGGAAGGTCGCGGGTTCAGGTCCCAATGAGGTCATCGGATTTTTTTCAGTTGACCTCATCCTTCCAGCTGCACTAGGCCCTGGCATATACTCAGCCTCTAACAGAAATGAGTACCAGGAATTAATTGAATAATTTTCCTGGGGAGTAAAGCGCAGCCAGCGCGTAAGGCTGACAACCTTACTGCCATCTTTGAGCCGATTGTCTAGATAGTGTGGGACCCGCAACGTATCGCAACCCTATGGGCCTTCACGGCCTGGTACAGGGATAGCTTTTACTTTTTTTTTTTAATACTTTTATGGACATGGTGAATGTTTGACATGCAGCTACATTATTGTGCTAGAATCAGGAACAGCATCATACACTTAATGTTTAATTGCACAATTCATATATACAAATGCAAATGAATTTTTCTGGTTCAGTTTGTCCTGTAATGTGACAGTTGGATTGTTTGGTGACAGAATATGATGTGTGCTTTATGTTATGTAAGAATCAACAGGAACAGACCTTTCCATGCATCCTGTGTATTTTGCGCTCTTGCTGCTGTTTCATTGTGCTCTGTTCACTGTGGGAACAAGGACACAATATCTTCAGCTAGTGATGCAGACTGTTATATCATCGTATGAAGTTTTTGGAGTCCATTTTCAATATACTTCCAGTATTCATATGCTGGTGGGAAATTCAAACTTACTTAACGAAAGACTTCCCATCCGCCAGGTTGTTTATACAAGGTGGAGTTGGTGGACCTAAATTTTTATTGGAGTGTAGACAGTCTTCATGGTTTCTGCATTCAGAGTAGATTTTAAACCTGAAAACACTGCATCAAGAATTGTTTGTTCTCAGTTTTAGGCCCCTAATTTGGAAGTATCTGAGGTAATATATGAAAGTATTGTCATATGGTAGGACAGCCCTTGTTCCCTTCCAAAAATGTGTCCAGTCATAATGCCCAGCAACACCTGTTTGTGTTGGGGTAAGCTTGCATTGGACAGGTGTGGAAGGATGAGTGTCAGACTCTGTAAAGTTGGAAGCCTCTGTCACTGGCAGTCAGCCGTTAGAGTGGATGTAGAAGCGCGATGATCTTATCTGTTTGCTGTTCATGGATCACCCAACCACTTACATGTCCCTTCTTATTTTTTGAAGGTGTTGTTTATAGAGAGTCATAATGAACACAGAAAAGGACCTAATTTTGCAGTGAGAGATAAAATGTGCTTATGTGTAAGTTGATCCCAGATTTATATTGCAGGGGAAATAAAATATTGTTTTGTGTATGTTAGTCCCAGATTCGTTTGTGATTAACAACTTGCCTTATTATGTTCTGTGTAACAGATTCAGGCTCTAAACAGTTCAGGATTGTGTTTATTGTATTGATCCCATGTCAGAGATATGCGTGAATGCTGTATGGGTGGTTGTGGATGAGTGGCAGGAACAGAACTGTGGAATAGCTGGTTGTGAGAGACCATGCGGAAACCTCCCAATCAGAAAGCAAGTTGTGGTATATCCACATACATTTAACAGTGGGCTAAAACTGGTCTGTGTACTTTACTTACATGCCACAACTTAAAAATTAGAGCTAGTGACCTTGATTTGTATTACTTTCCTTTTAGTGACCAAGTACTTTGTGTTGAACATTCATTTTCTTATACAAAGACTCACTAGTCCATTATGATTACTTTTCTCTCTGTTATGACTTGACCTCACAGTAAGGTGCATTTCTGTCATACCATACTCAGGCATAGGGTTTTTATACTGAGTGACTGACTGCGCTACATCAGAATAGCCTAGGAAAAGTCGTTGAATCACAGCAGAGAGATTGGGATGCAATATTACCAGTTTGCTGGCCTGGTGTTCCGAAGAACTCTTATCTGCCCTGCAACCTGCTGTTTGGGGCACCCCCTTAGGAGGAACGACTCACAATCAATCATGTGTGAATTTGTGGACCATTAAATGTCATCCACAGTTATGCCTGCCAACAGCTGAAGCTGGCCAGTGACCAGATAAAAATGCATTACGACAGACTGCTCAACTGCATAGGCTACCACGAGGGTGACAAGGTATAACTCCATCGCCCAAGCTGCAGTCCTCATGGGACGGCCTATGCAAGGTAGTCACACGGATAAATGATGTTCCAGTGGAACCATAGTTTTAAAGTTGACGGTGGTACACCTGCTCACAGCTTATCAGGCAACTGCTTGGTATGAGTAACCTTAAGAAGGGAGCAACATGAGCTGTCGGAGAGTAATCACTGAGAGAACCGAGCCATAGGGAAGGAAAGTGATGCTAATCACAGACGTCACAAACACAGCCCTCAGGAAAGAAGAAATGACGGTATGCCTGTAGGCTCTTTGGGATGAATAGCCTTAAGGAGGGAGCGATGTGACATGTAGACCCGTTGCTAAGTATTGACTCTGTAAGCAGTGACCGTTTGTAGGTGTTAACTGTAAACAGTAACGCAAGAATGGTGTTATGTACACAGCCTGAGCTATAGCCACGTGATGCAAGAATAGAAAACTGTGGGGATAGTTGTTTTCTATGTGCTTCTTGCGAAGGTGTTATAAGCAGGACAAGTCTAGAGTTTTGTGAATTGTGAGTCAGTCCCCAGCCAGTAAGAATGTGAACAAGGAAGCTACAGTGTTGGAAGCCATTAGGAGGCGACAACCCATGAAGTTAGAGCAGACTGAGAATACTTAGTGCGTACTGTAGTTAATTAGGGATAGGACTATAGTTATTTCTTGTTAGGATCCGTATGTGTTCAGTAAATCCAGTTTCCAGTCCAGACCCCATTTGTAGTCACTCTGTACATGTGACAGTGTAATTGATCAATTCTTTCATATTTGCAGAAGATATCATATCTCCAGTTCCAAGACCATCAAACTTGCATGGTTACAGGTGTGCTGTATGTAATTTGGTGGCTTCTCAGTACTGGCAGTTATGCAGTGTTCTGTGTAAAACTGTGATGTTTTGGTCTTCCACTGAATTTTTGTCACCATTTGTAATGTTGGTAGACTTTGAAGGGTTGGGATGTTCATCAGCTTCCCCCCCCCCACATCCAAGGGTCAAAATGTGTGTTTATCCATAGTCACCTCCTCAAACGCTTTTGCAGGAGTCTTGTTAAATGGAAGTTATTCAGTGATGTTCCATGTTAACTGTTCGATTTGTTATTAAATTGTGTTATACCAAGGTAGGGCATGTAATGTGGTGTAGACAGATGCCACAGTGCAGTATAGTCGTAGACACATCTTATAGTACTTGGTTTCTGTTTACTCGCTAGTTTGGGTGTTGGTGATTCAGAAAGAGGGATGAGATGCTTATAAGTTTACAATACAATAGTTCAGAAATACAGGAGGGTAGATTATCCTTATACTGGCCAGCTAGAAATTTATTCTCCCATACCAGCCCACTGCTGGCAGCCGAACCATTGCTCAGTCTCCTGGTGCTTGCTGGCTTATGTCGATGTCACTGTCACTGTGTTTAGTTGCTTAGCTGTGCTTGAGATATGCACAAGTACAGTCACCAATGTTGTGAGATACAGTGTTCAGAAATGAAGTATAGTGTTGAACAGAAATTATTCATATTATATCTTCATACAACATTCTTCGTGAAGAAGTGAAGTTGAAAGTTTCGTGGGAAGTATCCTGACACTGCTGTGCTGTGCAAAGCAACGATTTACAATATAACAATTACAGCCTTCAGGATCAGTGCTGGATAGAAAGGACTTTCAAAAGAGATGTATTGATTGAAGGAAAACTTTATGACTTCAGTGCTGAATTAGAAGCAAGCCCAAAGAAATCATCTGTCTTTTGGCTCTTCAGCATGGATTGGCAAAAAGTAGAGCTTTCATTGGGCCTGTGTGCTTTTCAGGAAACAACAGATTCCAAATGCTACCTGAGAATTGATA